TATTGTTTAATAACCTCTTAAGGATTGGACACTTTTTTTCAATTTTCGTCTAAAATGACATACCCAAATCTAACTGCCTGTAGCTCAGGACCTGAAGCAAGGATATGCATATTCTTGATACCATTTGAAAGGATACACTTTGAAGTTTGTGGAAATATGAAATTAATGTAGGAGAATATAACACATTAGATCTGGTAAAAGATAATACAAACAAAAAAAACATGCATTTCTATTTAGTTATTTTTTCATCATCTTTGAAATGCAAGAGAAAGGCCACAATATAATATTGCAGTTTAGGCGCAATTTAGATTTTGGCCACTAGATGGCAGCAGTGTGTGTGCAAAGTTTCAGATTGATCCAGTGAAGCATTGCAATACTGGACTATTTTGTATCAAGTCTGCCCAAATGTGCCGAATTGGTCAATTGATACATTTTCAAGTACATAACTATAGAGAACATACAAAGATAATATACTAACACAAAATGTAAGTTTACACACTCCCAGGAATGTCATACATGATGGATCATTAGCTTATACACTAACTTTCACACATCTAGATCGCCAGGTGGGGTGGGTGTGGAGCCAGAGACAGCAAGGGTTCAAACTGTAGAACACGGTTACTACATTTGAATATAAAAATGGATTTTATCAAACAAAACTATGTTACATTTTATCTCTGGGACCCTCAGGATGACAAATCAGAGCAAGATTACTGAATGTAAGTACATTAATTACCTTCAGAGGTGAATGTATCAAACCAGTTGCCGTGCTAAGTTTTTTGTTGTTGTGCACTCTCCTCAAACACTAGCATGGTATTTTTTCCACTGTGATAGCTACTGTAAATTGGACAGTGCCGTTAGATTAACAAGAATTTAAGCTTTCTGCCCATATAAGACATGTCTATGTCCTGGAAAGTTTGCTGTTACCTACAACAGTCATGCTAATCACATTAGCGCACGTTAGCTCAACCGTCCATACAGTGCCTTGGAAAAGTATTCATCCCCGTTGACGTTTTTCCTATTTTGTTGCATTACAACCTGTCATTTAAATTGATTTTTATTTGGATTTCATGTAATGGACATACACAAAATAGTCCAAATTGTTGAAGTGAAATGAAAAAACTAACTTGTTTCAAAAAATTCAAAAAAATTAATCACGGAAAAGTGGTGCATAAATATGTATTCACCCCCTTTGCTATGAAGCCCCTAAATAAGATATGGTGCAACCAATTACCTTCAGAAGTCACCTGTGTGCAATCTAAGTGTCACATGATCTGTCACATGATCTCAGTATATATACACCTGTTCTGAAAGGCCCCAGAGTCTGCAACACCACTAAGCAAAGGGCAGTACCAAGCAAGCAGCACCATGAAGACCAAGGAGCTCTCCAAACAGGTCAGGGACAAAGTTGTGGAGAAGTACAGATCAGGGTTGGGTTATAAAAAAATATCAGAAACTTTGAACATCCCACGGAGCACCATTAAATCCATTTTTAAAAAATGGAAAGAATATGGCACCACAACAAACCTGCCAAGAGAGGGCCGTCCAACAAAACTCACAGACTAGGCAAGGAGGGCATTAATCAGAGAGGCAACAAAGAGACCAAAGATAACCCTGATGGAGCTGCAAAGCTCCACAGCGGAGATTGGAGTATCTGTCCATTGGACCACATTAAGCCGTACACTCCACAGAGCTGGGCTTTACGGAAGAGTGGCCAGAAAAAAGCCATTGCTTAAAGAGAAAAATAAGCAAACACGTTTGGTGTTCGCCAAAAGGCATGTGGGAGACTCCCCAAACATATGGAAGAAGGTACTCTGGTCAGACGAGACTAAAATTGAGCTTTTTGGCCATCAAGGAAAACGCTATGTCTGGGGGAAACCCAACACCTCTCATCACCCCGAGAACACCATCCCCACAGTGAAGCATGGTGGTGGCAGCATCATGCTGTGGGATGTTTTTCATCGGCAGACACTGGGAAACTGGTCAGAATTGAAGGAATGCTGGATGGCGCTAAATACAGGGAAATTCTTGAGGGAAACCTGTTTCAGTCTTCCAGAGATTTGAGACTGGGACGGAGGTTCACCTTCCAGCAGGACAATAACCCTAAGCATACTGCTAAAGCAATACTCAAGTGGTTTAAGGGGAAACATTTAAATGTCTTGGAATGGCCTAGTCAAAGCCCAGACCTCAATCCAATTGAGAATCTGTGGTATGTCTTAAAGATTGCTGTACACCAGCGGAATCCATCCAACTTGATTTGATTTGATTTGAAGGAGCTGGAGCAGTTTTGCCTTGTAAAATGGGCAAAAATCCCAGTGGCTAGATGTGCCAAGCTTATAGAGACCCCAAGAGACTTGCAGCTGTAAGTGCTGCAAAAGGTGGCTCTACAAAGTATTGATTTGGGGGGGTGAATAGTTATGCAAGCTCAAGTTTTCTGTTCTATTGTCTTATTTCTTGTTTGTTTCACACCAAAAATGTTTTTGCATCTTCAAAGTGGTAGGCGTGTTGTGTAAATCAAATGATACCAACCCCCCAAAAATCCAAAAATGAGGGGAAAAAATCCAGGAAATCACATTGTAGGATTTTTTATGAATTTATTTGCAAATTATGGTGGAAAATAAGTTTTTGGTCAATAACAAAAGTTTCTCAATACTTTGTTATATACCCTTTGTTGGCAATGACACAGGTCAAACGTTTTCTGTAAGTCTTCACAAGGTTTTCACACACTGTTGCTGGTATTTTGGCCCATTCCTCCATGCAGATCTCCTCTAGAGCAGTGATGTTTTTGGGCTGTCGCTGGGCAACACGGACTTTCAACTCCCTCCAAAGATTTTCTATGGGGTTGAGATCTGGAGACTGGCTAGGCCACTCCAGGACCTTGAAATACTTCTTACGAAGCCACTCCTTCGTTGCCCGGGCGGTGTGTTTGGGATCATTGTCATGCTGAAAGACCCAGCCACGTTTCATCTGCTGATGGAAGGAGGTTTTCACTCAAAATCTCACGATACATGGCCCCATTCATTCTTTCCTTTACACGGATCAGTCGTCCTGGTCCCTTTGCAGAAAAACAGCCCCAAAGCATGATGTTTCCACCCCCATGCTTCACAGTAGGTATGGTGTTCTTTGGATGCAACACAGCATTCTTTGTCCTCCAAACACGACGAGTTGAGTTTTTACCAAAAAGTTATATTTTGGTTTCATCTGACCATATGACATTCTCCCAATCCTCTTCTGGATCATCCAAATGCACTCTAGCAAACTTCAGACGGGCCTGGACATGTACTGGCTTAAGCAGGGGGACACGTCTGGCACTGCAGGATTTGAGTCCCTGGCGGCGTAGTGTGTTACTGATGGTAGGCTTTGTTACTTTGGTCCCAGCTCTCTGCAGGTCATTCACTAGGTCCCCCCGTGTGGTTCTGGGATTTTTGCTCACCGTTCTTGTGATCATTTTGACCCCACGGGGTGAGATCTTGCGTGGAGCCCCAGATCGAGGGAGATTATCAGTGGTCTTGTATGTCTTCCATTTCCTAATAATTGCTCCCACAGTTGATTTCTTCAAACCAAGCTGCTTACCTATTGCAGATTCAGTCTTCCCAGCCTGGTGCAGGTCTACAATTTTGTTTCTGGTGTCCTTTGACAGCTCTTTGGTCTTGGCCATAGTGGAGTTTGGAGTGTGACTGATTGAGGTTGTGGACAGGTGTCTTTTATACGGATAACAAGTTCAAACAGGTGCCATTAATACAGGTAACGAGTGGAGGAGTGAGGAGCCTCTTAAAGAAGAAGTTACAGGTCTGTGAGAGCCAGAAATCTTACTTGTTTGTAGGTGACCAAATACTTATTTTCCACCATAATTTGCAAATAAATTCATTTAAAATCCTACAATGTGATTTTCTGGATTTATTTTCCTCAATTTGTTTGTCATAGTTGACGTGTACCTATGATGAAAATTACAGGCCTCTTTCATCTTTTTAAGTGGGAGAACTTGCACAATTGGTGGCTGACTAAATACTTTTTTCCCCCACTGTAGTTCTACAGTTCAGACAAACTAATGAACATATCCATTCTAGTTGTTGTGTACACCCTGCAAGGTGTTAGAGATGCACAAATGCTGTGTCCTTTTGACTTGAAATTTCCATGAATGTAGTTCCTCATTTACATTACATTTACGTCATTTAGCAGACGCTCTTATCCAGAGCGACTTACAAATTGGTGCATTCACCCTATAGCCAGTGGGATAACCACTTTACAAAATGTTTTTTGTTTTTTGTTTTTATTTTTACTTTTTTATTTTTTTGGGGGGGGGTAGAAGGATTACTTTATCCTAACCCAGGTATTCCTTAAAGAGGTGGGGTTTCAAATGTCTCCAGAAGGTGGTGAGTGACTCCGCTGTCCTGGCGTCGTGAGGGAGCTTGTTCCACCATTGGGGTGCCAGAGCAGCGAACAGTTTTGACTGGGCTGAGCGGGAACTATGCTTCCGCAGAGGAAGGGGAGCCAGCAGGCCAGTGTTCAAATCTAATCACAATGTATTTAAAGTGCATTTAACAAAGTCATAAGACACTTCACAGAAATAAAAAAAAGAGAGTAGAAAAGTATTCAATTCTCCACCCCCGAAATATGTCTATAAATCCTCTCCATGGAGCTACTTCCTGATGTTAACCACTCCTTCAATTATATACTCAAACGTTTATTTGTTGTTTGAATTACATCTTGAGCTCATGTCACAGTAAAATAACAATTAACAGGCCAAAGATTTTAAAAAAAAATGTAACAACAACATCAACCACAACATCAAAAGCAGCAAGTCTAACATTTGTAAATGACTTTAGGGTTGTATAGAGCACAAATGCATACAGATGACTTTTCTCATTCATCGTTGGTGATCTTCTTCCTCTGGATTTTGAGCTGAATGAACATGAAAGGGAAATATCTTTCAAATGTGTCTGAGGGGGCATTCAGCTCTTGTGTACTCTGACCAGACATAACACCTAGTGTAGCAAGAGTTAAGATTGACTCTGACCAACTGCTCTCCTCCATACTAAATACTTGACTAGGACAGCAAGTATTAAGACAACAGATACAATGATGCCTATGGCTATCAGCACATTGGCCAGGTTCTTCTTTGGATCTGGAAAAAAATATCATACATATGAACATATTACATGCTCTAGTATATCTCCAGCCAATTCAATTGTAAATTATATTGGGAAATGTACCGGGGCCTTACCCCAGTTTACTGTGATGTTCCCCGCTACACTGCTGTGGAGCACCAGGCAGCTGTAGTGTTGGGTGTACTGGGCTCCCTGTGGGAGAGTCAGGCTTTTCCTCAGCTGGTACGAACCGTCTCCGTTGGGCAGCACCTCCCCACTGCTCACCCCGTCCACCAGGGGAAGTCCCTCTGTCCCCAGCCATTCCACCTGCACCGCCCGAGGGTAGAACCCTGTCACATGACACGTGACCTCCACCTCGGAGTTGCCATGAGGCAGTCTCTCAAACAGACTCACCCCAGGGACTTAAGAGAGGAAAATTTTTGATGAACACATTTGGTCTGCGTTTCCACTGCAAGGGACATCTCGACATTACAAACATGTGCTGTTTGTTTACTAGACTAGAGGAATTCTGTCTGCAAAATATCACATCTCGAATAACATACAATACCAGTGAAAAGTTTGGACACATCTACTCATTCCAGGGTTTTTCTTTATTTTTTTTACCATTTTCTACATTGTAGAATAATAGTGAAGACATCAAAACTATGAAATAATTTGTGGAATTTCTTTCCTTCTTAATGCGTTTGAGCCAATCTGTTGTGTTATGACAAGGTAGGGGTGGTATACAGAAGATAGCCATATTTGGTAAAAGACCAAGTCCATTATGGCAAGAACAGCTCAAATAAGCAAAGAGAAACGACAGTCCATCCTTACTTTAATACATGAATGTCAGTCAATACGGAACATTTCAAGAACTTTTAAAGTTTCTTAAAGTGCAGTCGCAAAAACCATCAAGCGCTATGATGAAACTGGCTCTCATGAGGACCGCCACAGGATAGGAAGACCCAGAGTCACCTCTGCTGCAGAGGATAAGTTTATTAGAGTTACCAGCCTCAGAAATTGCAGCCCAAATAAATGCTTCACAGAGTTCAAGTAACAGACACATCTCAACATCAACTGTTCAAAGGTGACTGCGTGAATCAGGCCTTCATGGTCGAATTGCTGCAAAGAAACTACTAAAGGACACCAATAATAAGAAGAGACTTGCTCCGCATGTGTGGTTCCCACAGTGAAGCATGGAGGAGGAGGTGTGATGGTGCTTTGCTGGTGACACTGTCTGTGATTTATTTAGAATTCAAGGCACACTTAACCAGCATGGCTACCACAGCATTCTGCAGCGATAAGCCATCCCATCTGGTTTGCGCTTAGTCGGACTATCATTTGTTTTTCAACAGGACAATGACACAACACACCTACAGGCTGTGGAAGGGCTATATGACCAAGAAGGAGAGTGATTGAGTACTGCATCAGATGACCTGGCCTCCACAATCCCCCGTCCTCAACCAAATTGAGATGGTTTGGGATGAGTTAGACCACAGAGTGAAGGAAAAGCAGCCAACAAGTGCTCAGCATATGTGGGAACTCCTTCAAGACTGTTGGAAAAGCATTCCAGGTAAAGCTGGTTGAGAGAATGCCAAGAGTGTGCAAAGCTGTCATCAAGGCAAAGGGTGGCTACTTTGAAGAATCTCAAATATAAAATATATTTTGATTTGTTTAACACTTTTTTGGTTACTACATGATTCCATATGTGTTATTTCATAGATATTTTCATACAATGTAGAAAATAGTAAAAATAAAGAAAAACCCTTGAATGAGTAGGTGTGTCCAAACTTTTGACTGGTACTGTATATAGCTAGCGTTCTGGGTCAATGATTTGGTTTAAATCGAAAGGAGAACATACAGTTGGAGTCGGAAGTTTACATACACCTTAGCCAAATACATTTAAACTCTGTTTTTCACAATTCCTAACATTTTTACTAATCCTAGTAAAAATTCCCTGTCTTAGGTCAGTTAGGATCACCACTTTATTTTAAGAATGTGAAATGTCAGAATAATAGTAGAGAGAATTATTTATTTCAGCTTTTCTTTCTTTCATCACATTCCCAGTGGGTAAGAAGTTTACAGACACTCAATTAGTATTTGGTAGCATTGCCTTTAAATTGTTTAACTTGGGTCAAACGTTTCGGGTAGCCTTCCACAAGCTTCCCACAATAAATTGGGTGAATTTTGGCCCATTCCTCCTGACAGAGCTGGTGTAACTGAGTTAGGTTTGTAGGCCTCCTTGCTCGCACACGCTTTTTCAGTTCTGCCCACACATATTCTATAGGATTGAGGTCAGGGCTTTGTGATGGCCACTCCAATACCTTGACTTTGTTGTCCTTAAGCCATTTTGCCACAACTTTGGAAGTATGCTTGGGGTCATTGTCCAATTGGAAGACCCATTTGCGACCAAGCTTTAACTTCCTGACTGATGTCTTGAGATGTTGCTTCAATATATCCACATCATTTTCCTTCCTCATGATGCCATCTATTTTGTGAAGTGCACCAGTCCCTCCTGCAGCAAAAGTACCCACACAGCATGATTCTGCCACCCCCGAGCGTCACGGTTGGGATGGTGTTCTTCAGCTTGCAAGCGTCCCCCTTTTTCCTCTGTGGTGTCCAAGTCAACGTTGCTAATTATGCTGTGATGATAAGAAGTCTGCTTACACTGTTCTTTGATTATAAAGATTTATTGTATCAAAGTTCACAGTATTAATTTACAGATATCTGCAGTTATATCTGGAGAGAAACGGCCAATCTGTTGATCCAATATGTTGTCTCTCTCCCTCCCTTTGTTCAGAACCTGGTATTTATATCCTATGTAACATAATATGGCGTGATTTTAATAAACCAATCCCCGGCTTTCACATATCTCCAAATGTCCTCTATTCCAATAAACCTATGTAGCAATGCTTTTCCAAATGCTTCAGCAAAGCAGAGTAAAGTTAATCTATTACACCATTTGCAAACATCAGCAAAATCAATAGACCTTCAGACACTACACCTCCAAACATAACGATGGTCATTATGGCCAAACAGTTCTATTTTTGTTTCATCAGACCAGAGGACATTTCTCCAAAAATTACGATCTTTGTCCCCATGTGCAGTTGCAAACCGTAGTCTGGCTTTTTTATGGAGGTTTTGGAGAAGTGGCTTCTTCCTTGCTGAGCGGCCTTTCAGGTTATTTCGATATAGGACTCGTTTCCTCCAGCATCTTCCCAAGGTCCTTTGCTGTTGTTCTGGGATTGATTTGCACTTTTCGCACCAAAGTACGTTCATCTCTAGGAGACAGAACGCGTCTCCTTCCTGAGTGGTATGACAGCTGCGTGGTCCCATGGTGTTTATACTTGCATACTATTGTTTGTACAGATTAACGTGGTACCTTCAGGCGTTTGGAAATTGCTCCCAAGGATAAACCAGACTTGTGGAGGTCTACAATTTTTCTGAGGTCTTGGCTGATTTCTTTTGATTTTCCCATGATGTCAAGCAAAGAGGCACTGAGTTTGAAGGTAGGCCTTGAAATACATCCACAGGTACACCTCCAATTGACTCAAATGATGTCAATTAGCCTATCAGAAGCTTCTAAAGCCATGACATCATTTTCTGGAATTTTCCAAGCTGTTTAAAGGCACAGTCAACTTAGTGTATGTAAACTTCTGACCCACTGGAATTGTGATACAGTGAATTATAAGTGAAATAATCTGTCTGTAAACAATTGTTGGAAAAATTACTTGTGTCATGCACAAAGTAGATGTCCTAACCGACTAGCCAAAACTATAGTTTGTTAACAAGACATTTGTGGAGTGGTTGAAAAACGAGTTTATTGACTCCAACCTAAGTGTATGTAAACTTACGACTTCAACTGTATATACTGATAGCGCAACACACACCTCGTTGAGGTTTACAAAATGTACCAGTTAATTGGTCCCAATAATAAAGTGTCTAGTGTGTCCTTACCTTTGGATTCTCGAACTGTAACACTGAACTGTAGCAGTTTCTTCAGCCAACGGATGCATGCAGATTCGTAATGAATGACCAGCCTAACAAGATCTTCCAAATCTGTTTCCCTTTTTCTTTTGTAAAATACAGCATGGGAAACTGCAGCTGTCCATTTTCTGGTCGATACATCGAAGCTGACAAAGTCCTTGCCGTCATATGCATGGCTCATAAACGCCTCTGTGGTTCCGTCTGACTTCCATCCACAGCGTCCATGAGCTTGGTAAAAGTGATCTGTATGACACATAAAATGACCATAACATATCAGCACCATTTACTTCAAATATAGGCTACTGGTTAAAAGTATCAGCTCACAAAGGTAGGCTAATGGCTGCAACTAAGAAGGTATGTTTTTGGTTATTTAACCTCTGTATAGCCATGCAATTGTCATTTAGGCCTTCAGCTCTCTGTTGCACTGTCTTGGCACACATATTTTGTCTTACCATGTGAATGATTGTAATGTTCACTTGTTACTCTCACAGCCGTATCCATTACATATCGATTAAATTTCAGATTTCGATTAAGCTCCTGCCAGAATTCAATTCCCTCAGGGTGGTTTAACCATTCTGGCATCACGGCCTCTTGTTCAGCACTGCTGTTGTAGTAATAGACAATGACATCATCTATCATTACCAACTGGATGTTTTTCGGATACAAGGACCCTTGGGTTGTGATGCAGTGGCGATGAAGAGACTGAGGGGCTGGAAGACAACACTTCAAGTTATCGTTTCTGTAGCCTATTTCAATAGACAACGTTAAGACAACATTTTGTAGTGGTTGTGTTTGCTGGGTTTAGCCTGTTGAAGCCTTTTTTTTTTTTTAAGTATACAAAGTAAAACTGCATTCAGTTTGTTACACTATGATACAACTTGGTGAGACAAGAATGCCAAAAACACAACTCAAATAATGAACTCACCTACGATGGAGAACATCATGAATGAAATTAAAATTGTGGTTATCATATTTGCAATAACATGTTCTCGTTGGTGTATTCATAAACACACAATGTGAGCTGAAGTGAAAGTGAAAGAACTTGTGTTGACAAGTTGGGAGGGGAGGGGAGCAGAGTGTCGAACAGGGCTGGAGCATAGAGTTAGTTAGTGGACTCATCTTTGTATCTATCCCATTATGGCGTCTGTGAGTGCACAGACAGCCTCATTGAGGTTATCTCCTTTTTGAAGTAGTACATTTTCTTCTTCTTTCGAGTTTGAAAAAAGGATAAAGCTAATATTGATGATTTACTGCCACCTGCAGTGATGGAGTCCTGAACCAAATCTTGTGTGTCATTCGTTTATTGTGGCCACTAGATGGCGGTGATATAGCAGAAGCGTCCATGCAGCATCTGCCCCGAGAGGTAGGGGGAGATGAACACACACAGCTAAATTAATACAGCTGCAAGCAGCAATGCTGGGGTTCAGCTGTTGGCCCACAGTGCCCCAATCAGGACAAATTGGACACATCGCCCCCTGGAATGAGATACTTCTCAAATACATTTTTATTTTATTTTTTATTCGTCACATGCTTTGTAAACAACAGGTTTAGACTTACAGTGAAATGCTTACTTACTGTACTGTTCACCACAATGCCAAATATCAGAAGTCAAAATCAAACTGGTGATAGCCCTCAATGGCAATGTCCATGCAAAAAAAGGTTATATCCATGATGAGGCCTCTATGGGCTGGAGAGACTAGGCTGCCAAGCTACATCCGGTTTTTGTTGTTGCAGAGTTTGATTTGGACTGTTCTACTGTAGGTCAGTGTGATGGGTGTATGGACACAACTTAAGCTCGGGGCCCTGGGTCTGAACCCCGTCCTGTGCAACTGGGTCCTGGACTTCCTGACGGGCCGCCCCCAGTTGGTGAAGGCTGGAAACAACACCTCCACTTCACTGATCCTCAACACTGGGGCCCCACAAGGGTGCGTGCTCAGCCCCCTCCTGTACTCCCTGTTCACCCATGACTGCGTGGCCACGCACGCCTCCAACTCAATCATCAAGTTTGCAGATGACAACAGTAGTAGGCCTGATTACCAACAATGGTGAGACAACCTACAGGGAGGAGGTGAGGGCCCTGGAGGAGTGGTGCCAGGAAAATAACCTCTCCTTCAACATCAACAAAATGAAGGAGCTGATTGTGGACTTCAGGAAACAGCAGAGGGAGCACGCCCGTATCCACATCGACGGGACCGCAGTGGAGAAGGTGAAAAGCTTCAAGTTCCTCGGCGTACACATTACTGACAATCTGAAATGGTCCACCCACACAGACAGTGTGGTGAAGAATACGCAACAGAGCCTCTTCAACCTCAGGAGGTGGAAGAAATTCGGCTTCGCCCCTAAGACCCTCACAAACTTTTACAGATGCACAATTGAGAGCATCCTGTTGGGCTGTATCACCGCCTGTTACGGCAACTGCACCGCCCACAACCGCAGGGCTCTCCAGAGGGTGGTGAAGTCTGCCCAACGCATCACCGGTGGGCACACTGCCTGCCTTCCAGGACACCTACAACACCCGTTGTCACAGGAAGGCCATCATACTGTTAAATAGCCATCACTAGCCGGCTACCACCCGGTTACTCAACCCTGCACCTTAGAGGCTGCTGCCCTATATACATAGACATGGAATCACTGGTCACTTTAATAATGGAACACTAGCCACTTTAATAATGTTTACATACTGCTTTACTCATTTCATATGTATATACTGTATTCTATTCTACTGTATTTTAGTCAATGTCACTCCGACATTGCTCGTCCTAATATTTATATATTTCTGAGTTCCATTCTTTTACTTTTAGATTTGTGTGTATTGTTGTGAATTGTTAGATACTACTGCACTGTTGGAGCTAGGAACACAAGCATTTCGCTACACCACCAACAACATCTGCTAAATATGTGTATGTGACCAATAACATTTGATTTGATTTGATGTGGTACCAGTAAAAGACACCAAACTCAAGCAACCACTGGAAATGGAACCACTGGAAACCACTCAACCTACCACTGGAAATGCCTTTCACAAGACACACAGGACATAGATGATTGTGGCCCAGTGCAGGTTAAACACTTCTCGTGCACAAACATAAACATTTCATTTTGTGGAATAACTTAACAAAATACATCATGGGCCACGAAGTACAGTTTTATTCAATTTCTCATATGAAAACCACTGTAGCTGGAAACTATACACTGGAAATCAGATAATAATGAACAAGTTGTAGGCCTACATGTGATTTATTTTTATTGACAATGTGCCATACAAATTCTTATCCACATCATATTTGCTTGAAATATTGTTGCTTGTTTTTTTATGTTCTGTCTATAAAGCTATGAATGTTGATGTACATATTGTTGTTCTGATCAATGCTTCATATGATAAAAGTATTAATTACCATACTGAGAATTCCCAAGCCAGCTCCCAAACCTAACATCTAAAATAGAACACCTAAAAATAAAACCTGACATCCTTGTTGGTTTAAATTTAGACTAAACCAATATTTCAACACAGCATAGTTCAGTACGTCAGTTTTCCACAGTACTCATCCTATCTGAAAGTGTATGACATGTTTCTGACAAGTCTCTGCTTTAAATCTCCCTGTCTTGTCATAGGCTGAGGATAGAAGCTACGTCAACCAAGACACTATTTATAGCAACTGAGCAACTTTCTCTCAGTTGGAGCAAAAACAGTGACGTGTGCCTGCAGTTCCTGGTAAGTGGTGGACTGGGTCATGCCGTGGTCAGACTTGGAAGTCACAGAGGAGGTCTCTCTGACTGCTCCTCCTCTCTTCCACAACAGACCAACAACGTCAGAAACAATAGACAGCCAATCACTGTTAAGATACTGGCCCTCCAGTAGCTGGACCGGGTCTTGGGAACTGTGGACATAGATATAAAGAGAAAACAGGTCATTTCAAAGTGTTGGTCATTTCAAAGTGACGTCCTAAATAATCATTTTACCCTGAGGTGAGCGTAGGTTACACTTTTATATAGGATATTCCTCGTAGGTAACAGTCCATTCCTTACTCAACAAACAAATGGAAAGATAACACAAAGGCATGTTCCCCAGTACCGGTGCCTTACCCCAGTTTACTGTGATGTTCCCCGCTACACTGCTGTGGAGCACCAGGCAGCTGTAGTGTTGGGTGTACTGGGCTCCCTGTGGGAGAGTCAGGCTTTTCCTCAGCTGGTACGAACCATCTCCGTTGGGCAGCACCTCCCCACTGCTCACCCCGTCCACCAGGGGAAGCCCCTCTGTCCCCAGCCATTCCACCTGCACCGCCCGAGGGTAGAACCCTGTCACATGACACGTGACCTCCACCTTGGAGGGTATCCGTAGGCCTCTGCTCTCAATAACACCCACCTCAGGGACTGAGAGAAGACCAGGTGTGATCAAGCCACCTCAACGTTCATTGTGTTGTCAACATTGTCTCTACCACTGACACATTGACCGCTGACATAATTAGCATTTGAAGAATACTATACTGTCTGACTGTATGTCTGTCTACCTTTTTTGTCGTGGATCCAAGGTGCGTACTTCAAAATGGTCTTTAGCCTTTCGATGCACTCATAGTTGTAGTAGTAGTAAAGGTTCTCCAGATCAAATGCTCTGTTGGCTCTGCACTTCACCAAGTGGACAGCTTGAGGGACTGCAGCCGCCCAGGTCCTGGCTGGGATGTCAAAGGTCACAAAGTCCTTCCCGTTGTAGCCATGGCTGACAGAGGTGTGCATTGTACCATCAGGGTTCAGTTGGCAGTAGCCGTGAGTTTGGTAAAGCCGAGCCTGAGGAGGGGAAGCTTCAGGAAATAGAATAAGTATCATATTTGTGGAGTTCAGGAGTGTATGCTAAGGTGTAAATCAAATCAAATCAAATCCAATTTTATTGGTCACATGCGCCGAATACAACAGGTGCAGACATTACAGTGAAATGCTTACTTGTAAGTACGGTTTATTAGGTTTCTATGAAATTGAAAGAATAGAGATTTAAAAAATTGTGATTTTGTAAATAAATAGATTGTAATCATTCTAATATAATGGATATACAAATGCATTGAGTTGACAGCACTCACCTGTAAGGTTATCATGCTGCCCAATCGTATTCAAGGTGGTAACCAAAAACCTGCGAATCATTCTGGAGACGAAGTTCATTCGCCTCCAATGAGAGGGACCCTCGTTGCTGCTGAGCCAATCAGGTATTGGGGCGTCAGCGTCCATGTGCATGGTGTTACTGTCATACTGGAGGATGGTTCTGTCATCTACACTCCACGACCCCATGAACTCTGGCAGACCTGCTACACCCTCTGACCCTATGTGATGTAGGTGGAGGACCTGAGCATCTGCAAAACAACACAACATGCAGAGATAATATTTAATTTCAAATATTTATGCAAAGATATGGTTAATATGATTAATATACAGTAAATAGGTAAAGAATATCTGTCATGTAAATGTCCTTAAGTACACTCACCTGCATATAGTATGGTATGGCTGCAAAGCAGAGCCCAAATCAAGATACACTTCATCTCAAGATAGATGTGTAAACCTTGAGTGTGAAGAGATTAGGTTCTATTCACACTTTTGTTTCTGTGGGTTTGTTGTCACAGCCTGATTACCTTGCTGTACAACACACGGATTGGTCTCTTGCAAAGATTGCATCACAGACACAGAGTGGCATGTCAGTTTACCTAATACACGTACAGCAGACAGGTTTAACAAGTTAGGAATGTCACCTTCATTTCTGTCAGGAATCATGCTCGCACTGTTAAACATAACCAATAGCAAAAAACAAAGCCCTTTTGTTTTCAATGACATTTAACTTTATCAGTGCAAGGAGATGGAATTCAATTCCTCCCTATTTGTACATTTGATTGTTTTGAAGCCTAAGTAGATTATGTAAGTTAATCATAACTCATCATGCTAACTTATTACATTTACATTTTCGTCATTTAGCAAACGCTCTTATCCAGAGCGACTTACAAATTGGTGCATTCACCTTATGATAGCCAGTGGGACAACCACTTTACAATATTATTATTATTATTTATTTTTTATTTTATTTTTTATTTGGGGTGGGGAAAGGGGGGGTAGAAGGATTACTTTATCCTATCCCAGGTATTCCTTAAAGAGGTGGGGTTTCAAGTGTCTCCGGAAGGTGGTGAGTGACTCCGCTGTCCTGGCGTCGTGAGGGAGCTTGTTCCACCATTGGGGTGCCAGAGCAGTGAACAGTTTTGACTGGGCTGAGCGGGAACTGTGCTTCCGCAGAGGTAGGGGGGCCAGCAGGCCAGAGGTGGATGAACGCAATGCCCTCGTTTGGGTGTAGGGACTGATCAGAGCCTGAAGGTACGGAGGTGCCGTTCCCCTCACAGCTCCGTAGGCAAGCACCATGGTCTTGTAGCAGATGCTGGCTTCAACTGGAAGCCAGTGGAGTGTGCGGAGGAGCGGGGTGACGTGAGAGAACTTGGGAAGGTTGAACACCAGACGGGCTGCGGCGTTCTGGATGAGTTGTAGGGGTTTAATGGCACAGGCAGGGAGCCCAGCCAACAGCGAGTTGCAGTAATTCAGACGGGAGATGACAAGTGCCTGGATTAGGACCTGTGCCGCTTCCTGTGTAAGGCAGGGTCGTACTCTGCGAATGTTGTAGAGCATGAACCTACAGAATCGGGTCACCGCCTTGATGTTAGCGGAGAACGACAGGGTGTTGTCCAGGGTCACGCCAAGGCTCTTTGCACTCTGGGAGGAGGAGTTGTCAACCGTGATGGCGAGATCATGGAACGGGCAGTCCTTCCCCAGGAGGAAGAGTAGCTCCATCTTGCCGAGGTTCAGCTTGAGGTGGTGATCCGTCATCCAAACTGATATGTCTGTCAGACATGCAGAGATGCGATTCGCCACCTGGTTATCAGAAGGGGGAAAGGAGAAGATTAATTGTGTGTCGTCTGTGTAGCAATGATAGGAGAGGCCATGTGAGAATATGACAGAGCCAAGTGACTTGGTCTATAGCGAGAATAGGAGAGGGCCTAGAACTGAGCCCTGGGGGACACCAGTGGTGAGAGCACGTGGTGCGGAGACAGGTTCTCGCCACGCCACCTGGTAGGAGCGACCTGTCAGGTAGGACGCAATCCAAGAGTGAGCCGCGCCGGAGATGCGCAACTTGGAGAGGGTGGAGAGGAGGATCTGATGGTTCACAGTATCAAAGGCAGCAGATAGATCTAGAAGGACGAGAGCAGAGGAGAGAGAGTTAGCTTTAGCAGTGCGGAGAGCCTCCGTGACACAGAGAAGAGCAGTCTCAGTTGAATGACCAGTCTTGAAACCTGACTGGTTTGGATCAAGAAGGTCATTCTGAGAGAGATAGCAAGAGAGTTGGCTAAAGACGGCACGCTCAAGAGTTTTGGAGAGAAAAGAAAGAAGGGATACTGGTCTGTAGTTGTTGACATCGGAGGGATCGAGTGTAGGTTTTTTGAGAAGGGGTGCAACTCTCGCTCTCTTGAAGACGGAAGGGACATAGCCAGCGGTCAAGGATGAGTTGATGAGCGAGGTGAGGTAAGGGAGAAGGTCTCCGGAAATGGTCTGGAGAAGAGAGGAGGGGATAGGGTCAAGAGGGCAGGTTGTTGGGCGGCCGGCCGTCACAAGTCGCAAGATTTCATCTGGAGAGAGAGGGGAGAAAGAAGTCAAAGCATAGGGTAGGGCAGTGTGAGCAGGACCAGCGGTGTCATTTGACTTAACAAACGAGAATCGGATGTCGTCAACCTTCTTTTAAAAATGGTTGACGAAGTCATCCACAGAGAGGGAGGGGGGGAGGGGGAGGAGGATTCAGCAGGGAGGAGAAGGCGGCAAAGAGCTTCCTAGGGTTAGAGGCAGATGCTTGGAATTTAGAGTGGTAGAAAGTGGCTTTAGCAGCAGAAACAGAGGAAGAAAATGTAGAGAGGAGGGAGTGAAAAGATACCAGGTCCGCAGGGAGTCTAGTTTTCCTCCATTTCCGCTCGGCTGCCCGGAGCCCTGTTCTGTGAGCTCGCAATGTGTCGTCAAGCCACGGAGCAGGAGGGGAGGACCGAGCCGGCCGGGAGGATAGGGGACATAGAGAGTCAAAGGATGCAGAAATGGAGGAGAGGAGGGTTGAGGAGGCAGAATCAGGAGATTGGAGGGAGAAGGATTGAGCAGAGGGAAGAGATGATAGGATGGAAGAGGAGAGAGTAGCGGGAGAGAAAAGTAGGGGCAGAGTGAGTAGTGTTGGAGGAGAGCGAGAGAGAAAAGGATACAAAGTAGTGGTCGGAGACTTGGAGGGGAGTTGCAGTGAGATTAGTAGAAGAACAGCATCTAGTAAAGATGAGGTCAAGCGTATTGCCTGCCTTGTGAGTAGGGGGGGACGGTGAGAGGGTGAGGTCAAAAGAGGAGAGGAGTGGAAAGAAGGAGGCATAGAGAAATGAGTCAAAGGTAGACGTAGGGAGGTTAAAGTCGCCCAGAACTGTGAGGGGAGAACCATCCTCAGGAAAGGAACTTATCAAGGTGTCAAGCTCATTGATGAACTCTCCAAGGGAACCTGGAGGGCGATAAATGATACGGATGTTAAGCTTGAATGGGCTAGTGACTGTGACAGCATGGAATTCAAATGAGGAGATAGACAGATGGGTCAGGGGAGAAAGAGAGAATGTCCACTTGGGAGAGATGAGGATTCCTGTGCCACCACCCCGCTGACCAGATGCTCTCCGGGTATGCGAGAACACATGGTCAGACGAGGAGAGAGCAGTAGGAGTAGCAGTGTTTTCTGTGGTAATCCATGATTCCGTCAGTGCCAAGAAGTCGAGGGACTGGAGGGTAGCATAGGCTGAGATGAACTCTGACCTTGTTGGCCGCAGAACGGCAGTTCCAGAGGCTGCCGGAGACCTGGAACTCCACGTGGGTCGTGTGTGCAGGGACCACCAGGTTAGAGTGGCAGCAGCCACGTGGTGTGAGGCGTTTGTATAGCCTGTGCTGAGAGGAGAGAACAGGGATAGACAGACACATAGTTGACAGGCTACAGAAAATGGCTACAATAATGCACTCTAGAGCCCATGTCTTTGAGTAAGGTCCTTTCAGGCCGTAGTAACTTATTGAAGGATTGTAGTTGTCCAAACTCAACGGTAGCAGTTGGAATGTGTCTGTCTGAGTCAATGAGTACATCTCAGACTCCTGCTGCTTCAGTCACACTGGCTGAACTTGGGATAGACACCAGCGTTCAGAACACAATGGACGGACAGACATATGGGAGAGATGGGACAAACGGAAAAGCCTGGAGGGCGGAGAAAGAAAGGATGATGACCTGGGTCAGAAGGAGGGATCAGCGAAGGTGAAGATGGAGGAGAGAGGTCACTGGGGCAGCAAGACAGAGTTTCTCCTGGCCGTAGCAGGGAACGTGGTGGGTCTAGGTAACGTGTGGAGGTTCCCCTACCTCTGCTACAAAAATGGTGGAGGTGTGTCCATGAAGGAGAGGGTGCCAAGGTTATTCAAATGATGATCAGCTGAACAAATGAGCAACTTAGACCATTTAAACCCCTGTTTTTAAACCTCTGTTTGTACAGAGCCAATGTGTGTGTTTCATTTAACAGACCAAGTACAGAGGTCACAAGACAAAGACAAGGTATGGGAGTATGGTATTTCTCCTCTTGTTTCTATAAGGTACTGTAATAGCTATCATTTTGTTCTCGAGTATTGATTTGGTGGTGTGTATTTCTCAGGGGCGTTCCTGGTGCCGTACCTGGTGTTTGTGGTGCCATGCGGGGTGCCCTTGTTCCTGCTGGAGATGGCCATGGGACAGTACACTCAGGAGGGGGGCATCACCTGCTGGAAGAGGCTGTGCCCACTGGCCGAGGGTGGGCACCATGGCAACACGATGACACCATGATATGAAGAGTGTTTGATCCAATATTATAAAGATTGTAAATTGTATGAGAGAGCGAGGAAAGCCATGTGTTCGTAGTATCACGAGTGAGTACTAGAAGGTCAGTGTGCCAAGATAGATTGGGGGGCCACACGAAACCAAGGAAAGGAATGATATGGGCGTAGTTGAGTGACAAATCAATTATGGTTAGCAACTGGATAAGACAAAAGTAGACTGGAAGAGCACTATATAGGCTGAGAGAGAGTCACATGATAAGAGGCAAAGCACGTTAATCTTATTATGTGATCCAGTACTGAATAAATGTAGAGTCAAACTTCCATCTGAGTGTCTGCTGCTTTCTCTTACATCCTGCACTTATTCATACCAGAAACTCATCATAACACACCACCACCCACTGAGGAGTCACATAGAAACAGGGCTGTAGACAGGACAGGCAGAAGGACATATGAATACATGATGCTCAAACAATTTAAATTCATCTGAATTGGAATGACGAACAGTGCAATAAGGGTGGATTTCCAATTAATCCTAAGTAATGTAATCCAAATTGAATCCAATGTCTGAATTTAAAAAAAATAATTGACCCAAACTCCTGACTACAACTGAAAGGAAATCCCTCCCACAATAGGACATGTACTACTCTTTGTCACTGAGACATCCATGGCCTAGCTGTCTTCAGTAGAGCAGCTGTCAGCAAAGTCAATGCTTTTTGAAGAGATGGAAGATGGGTAGGACTCTCACCCTGGGATGGTGTTGGAAGGTGTCTTCTGTTTGTCTGAGCCTTGTTCCCCAACCTTTGGCAGAAAGAAAGTGTGGTAATTCACTCTTGATAAAGTTAGGGTTAGTTTAACAGCTGTCCATTTGGGACCATGCGAAAATTATCTGGTTGTACAGTCTGTCAATGTGTCCCCCCTCTCAGGTATCGGCTATGCAGGGCAGTTGATCCTCCTGTACAGCTGTATGTGTTACATCATCATCCTGGCCTGGGCTCTGTTCTACCCGGTCTCCTCCTTCAGCGCTCAGCTCCCCTGGACCAGCTGCACCAACCCCAGGAACACTGGTACGTACCCTGGGCCGGCAGCACCAACCCCTGGAACACTGGTACGTACCCTGGGCCGGCAGCACCAACCCCTGGAACACTGGTAGGTACCCTGGGCCGGCAGCACCAACCCCTGGAACACTGGTAGGTACCCTGGGCCGGCAGCACCAACCCCTGGAACACTGGTACGTACCCTGGGCCGGCAGCACCAATCCCTGGAACACTGGTACGTACCCTGGGCCACGTTATAGGTACTATAAATACAAAAGTATGTGGACACCCCTTCAAATTAGTGGATTTGGCTATTTCATCCACACCCATTGCTGACAGGTGTATAAAATCGAGCACACAGCCATGCAATCTCCATAAACAAGCATTGGCAGTAGAATGGCCTTACTGAAGAGCTCAGTGACTTTCAACGTGGCACCATGATAGGATGCCACCTTTCCAACAAGTCAGTTGGTCAAATTTCTGCCCTGCTAGAGCTGCCCCGGTCAACTGTAAGTGCTGTTATTGTGAAGTGGAAACGTCTAGGAGCAACAACAGCTCAGCCGCGAAGTGGTAAGCCACACAAGCTCACAGAGTGGGACCACCGAGTGCTGAAGCGCGTAGCGTGTAAACATTGTCTGTCGTTGGTTGCAACACCCACTACTGAGTTCCAAACTGCCTCTGGAAGCAACGTCAGCACAATAACTGTTTGTGGGGAGCTTCATGAAATGGTTTCCATGGCCAAGCAGCCGCACACAAGCCTAAGATCACCATGCGCAATGCCAATCGTCGTCTGGAGTGGTGTAAAGCTCGCCACCATTGGACTCTGGAGCAGTGGAAACGCATTCTCTGGAGTGATGAATCACGCTTCACCATCTGGCAGTCCGACGGACTAATCTGGGTTTGGCGGATGCCAGGAGAACGCTACCTGGCCGAATGCATAGTGCCAACTGTAAAGTTTGGTGGAATAGGAATAATGGTCTGGCACTGTTTTTCATGGTTCGGGCTAGGCCCCTTAGTTTTAGTGAAGGGAAATCTTAATGCTACAGCATACAATGACATTCTAGACAATTCTGTGCTTCCAACTTTGTGGTAACCGTTTAGGGAAGGTCCTTTCCTGTTTCAGCATGACAATGCCCTCGTGCACAAAGCAAGGGCCATACAGAAATGATTTGTCGACATCGGTGTGGAAGAACTTCACTGGCCTGCACAGAGCCCTGACTTCAACCCAATTGAACACCTTTGGGATGAATTGGAACGCCGACTGCGAGCCAGGCCTAATTGTCCCCGACCTCACTAATGCTCTTGTGGCTGAATGGAAGCAAGTCCCTGCAGCAATGTTCCAACATCTAGTGGAAAGTCTTCCCAGAAGAGTGGAGGCTGTTATAGCAGCAAAGGGGGGACCAACTCCATATTAATGCCCATGATATTTGAATTAGATGTTTGATGAGAAGGTGTCCACATACTTTTGGTCATGTAGTGTATGTATTTTGACTCTTTTGTAACTTTCCCCAGGTCATTGCTGTAAATGAGAATGTATTCTCAGTCAACTCAAGTGGTAAAATAAGGAATACAAACAAAATTAATATAAAGGGTGTTCTTTACCATAAGAATTGTTAGAGCAAGTTGTAATTGTGAACATTATGTTCTCTCTACCCCATTAGATGACTGTGTTACTTCTCCTCTCAAACCAGACAGATGAAATCAACATCTGCAGCCACTGAATTCTGGGATTAGGTTTACGGATTCAACATACCTTGATCTTCCAGTTGGCCACAACATTAAAGACCAGGGTCATTTTGTCTACAGCTCCAACCATCTCTTTCTCTAGGCTGCATGTGCTGGTAATCTGGGGAGTATAGGGGAGGTGGGCAGTGTCAGGTGGGAGGTGCTGCTGTGTCTCACCCCTCTCTCTGTCTCACCCCTCTCTCGCCTCTCTCTCCCTCTCCCTGTCCCACCCCTCTCTCTGTCTCACCTCTCTCTCCTCTGTCTGTCTCTCCTTTGTCTCTCCCCGCTCTCTCACCCCACTCTGTCTCTCTCCCCTCTCTGTCTCTCACCCCTCTCTGTCTCTCACCCCTCTCTGTCTCTCACCTCTCTCAGTCCTCGTCACCGTTCTCTGTCTCCTCAACCCCTCTCGTCTCTCCCCTTCCTCTTTTCCTTTTCCCCCCCCCCCTGTCCCCCACACCCCCCTTTTGGGTTTTTCTCCCCCCAACCTCCCCGGGGGCCTCCCAAACCCCCCTGGGGGCCCCCCCCCCTCCCCTTTCCCCCCCTCGCCCCAACCCCCCGGGCCCCCCCTCCTCTTTGTCCTCCCACTTTTCCCTCCCCCCTCCTCCCTCTGTTGGGGGCCCCCCCGCCCCCTGGGGGTGTTTTTCCCCCCCCCCCCTCTCTTGTCTCCCCCCCCTCTCTGTCCTTTTCCCCTCCCTCCCCCCCTCTCCCCCCTCTTTCCTCTCCCCTCTCCCGTCTCTTCCCCCCTCTGCTCTCACCCCACCCCCCTTCTCCCACCTTTTTCCCGTCTCTCCCCCTTTTGTCTCTTCCCCTTTTCGGGCCCTCGCCCCTCTGGGCTCCCCCTCCTGTCTCCCCCCTCTCTGTCCCCCCCCTCTCTGTCTCTCAACCCCCCCCTGTCCTCAACCCCCCTGTTCCCACCCCCCTTTTTCCCTTCTGTCTCTTTTCCCCCTCCCCTTTCCCACCCCTCTCCTGTCCCCCCCCCTCCCCTGTCTTCCCCTTTGTCTCTCCCCCCCCTCTGTCCTCACCCCCCCTCTGTCTTCCCCCCCCTCTCTGGGCTTCACCCCCTCCTGTTTTCACCCCCCTCTGTCTCTTTTTCCCCCCCCTCTTTCCCCTCCCCCTCTCTTCCTTTTTCCCCCCGCTGGTCCTCCCCTCCTTTTTTCTTTCTCCCCCTCTTTCTTTTCCCTCTCTGTTCTTTTTTCCCCCTTTTCTTTATTAACCCCCCTTTCTGTCTCTTTTCCCCCCCTCTTTCCCCCCCCCCTCTCTTGTCCCCCCTCCCCCCCTCTCTTTCTCTCCCCCCTTGTTCTCCCCCCCTTTTCTTCCCCCTCTGGGCCCACCCCTCCTGGGCCCTTCCCCCCCCTCCTTTTCTCTCCCCTCTCTGGGCTCTCCCCTCTCTGTTTCCCCTTTCCCCCCTTTTGTCTCTTCCCCCCATTTCTCCCCCTCCTTTCCTCCCCTCTCTGTCTCTCCCCCCTCTCTGTCTCCTCCCCCCTTTGGGCTTTCCCCCCCCCTCTGTTCTCCCCCTCTCTGTCTTCCCCACCCCCTCTTTCTCAACCCCCTCTTTTTTCTCCCCTTTTTTCCCCACCCCTCTCTTTTCTCTCCCCCTCTCTTTCTTTCTCCCCCCTCGTCCCCTCTCCCCTCTCTGTTCTCACCCCCTCTGTCTCTCCCCCTCTCTGTCTCTCAAAAACCCCCCTCCCCTTTCTCAACCCCCCCCCTTCCCCTTTTCTCCCCCCCTCTTTTCCTTTTCCCTTTTCCCCTCCCTTCTCGCCTTTCCCCCTCTGTCCCCTTTTCCCCCCCCGCCCCCCCCCTTTTGTCTCTCCCCCTTCCCGTCTCTCAAACCCCCCTGTCTCACCCCCCTCTGTCTTTTTCCCCTTCTCTGTCTCTCACCCCCCCCTCCCGTTTCTCCCCCCCTTCCCCTTTTCCTCTGTCAAAACCTCCTCTATCTCTCTAACACCCCCTCTGTCTCTCTCCCCCTCTCTGTCTCTCCCCTCTCTCTCTCTCTCCCCTCTCTGTGTTTCTCCCCTCTCTCTGTCTCACCCCTCTCTGTCTCCCCCCTCTGTCTCTCTCCTCTCTGCGTCTCTCCCCTCTCTGCGTCTCCAAAGAATAAACACCAGCCTCTCCCGGGACTGTGCCCTGCGACCCAATGTACACCTGGCCCACCATCCCACCCTCGATCTGGACTGTCTCTATGACCATGTTTACCCACACCTGGAGGAGCCACAGCCCGGAAGGCAGAGCTATGCACAGGCTGTGAGAGGAGCAACTGGCCCAGCCCCCACCAAAGAAATTAGTGACATTAAACAAATGCAAAATGTGATAGGCCGAGGGTCATGGTAAGATGAGCACAAGAACTCCACCATCCTCACACTACATCCACCCAAGTGGCATGACACAAATGCTATCTTAAATGATAAACGAATCACATTTGCATATTAAGAGTTTAGGTTAATTGAAAAATCATATTTTAATAGTTATTGTTGGATTGTGAGTGTTTATCTAATTTTGAAGGTAAAGAAAAAACAGTTATGAAATCTTTTTACGTTGCATGTTGGAATTTATAAGGTTTGAAGTCCTCTGCTTTTGGGCTAAAGAGCAGAAACCCAGACTTCCTGAAAGAAATGTATGATGTTGATATTGTAGTACTACAGGAAACATGGTGCAGAAGTGATGTTTCCACTAGCTGTCCACTAGATTATAGGGAGATAATCGTACCATCCACCAAATTAAAAGGAACCACACAGGGCAGAGACTCAGGGGGAATGCTAATATGGTCTAAATCTGAACTAACTCATTCAATCGAATTGATCAAAACAGGAGAATTCTTTATCTGGTTATTTTAAGGCTATTTTAACAGATAGAAACGTCTTCCTCTGTGCCACATACATTCCCCTCAGAGTCACCCTACTTCAATGAAGAGAGTTTCTCCATTCTAGAGGGGGAGATTAGTCACTTTCAGGCCCAAGGCAATGTACTGGTCTGTGGAGACCTGAATGCTACAACAGCAGAAGAACTAGACACTTTTAACAGTCATGGGGACAAACACCTACCGGGAAGCAACAACATTTCCCTCCCCACATACCCCCCAGAAACAACAATGACAAAGTGAAAAACAAAAATGGAGTACAGCTCCTGAAGCTCTGTCGAACACTGGGTCTGTACATAGTCAATGATAGGCTAAGAGGGGACTCTTTTGGTAGGTACACCTACAGCTCATCCCTTGGCAGCAGTACCGTAGACTACTTAATCACCGACCTCAACCCAGAGTCTCTCGGAGCCTTCACAGTCAGCCCACTAACACCTCTCTCAGACCACAGTAAAATCACAATGTATCTGAGAAGAGCAGAACCCAACCATGAGGCATCACGGCCCAATAAATTACATGGTACTAAACAGGCCTATAGATGGAGTGCAAACAGTACAGAAATCTACCAAAAAGCAATTAGTAGCCAAAAAATACAATCTCTCCTTGATAACTTTTTAGCCTTAACATTCTCCTACAGCAATGAAGGTGTAAATTTGGCCGTTTGGAACATAAACTTTATTTTTGACAAATTAGTCTCCTTGGCTAATCTAAATCTAAAGAAACATAAGAGCAAACCAAAAAGAATAGATAATGAAAAATGGTTTGATAATGATTGCAAAAATCTAAGAAAGCCATTGAGAAATTTATCTAATCAAAAACACAGAGACCCAGACAACAAAAATATGCCTTCAATATGGGGAAACACTGAAGCAATACAAACACACCCTAAGAACAAAAAAGGAACAGCACATTAGAAATCAGCTGGATGTAATTGAGGAATGCATAGAATCAAACCACTTCTGGGAGAATTTGAATAAATTAAACAAACCTCATCATGAGGAATTGGCCATCCAAAATGGGGATATGTGGAGAAATCACTTTGCAAACCTCTACAGCAATATAACAAAGAGCCCAGAACAATAAGATATACAAGAATAATTACAAATCCTTGAATCAGCAGTCAAAGACTATCAGAATCCTGTGGATACCCCAAATACAGAACAAGAATAATTGGAAAAACTATGCTCCTGTGGTGCTGATGGTATTTTAAATGAAATGATCAAATATACAGACACAAATTCAAATTGGCTATACTCAAACTCTTCAACATTATCCTCACTGCATGTATTTTCCCTGATATTTGGAACCAAGGATTGAGCACACCAATCTATAAAAATGGAGACAAATTTGACCCAAATAATTACAGGAATTTGCGTTAACACCAACTTGGGGAAAATTCTCTGCAGTATCATAAATAGTATTTCCTTGATGAACACAACATCCTAATCAGAAGCCAGATTGGTATTTTTTAAAATTATTGTACAACAGATCATATTTAGACCCTCCACACTCTAATTGACAAACAAGTAAACCAAAACATAGGCAAAATCTACTCGTGTTTGTAGACTTCAATAAAGCATTTGATTCAATTTGGCACAAAGGTATTTTTTTATAAACTAATAGAAAGTGGTATTGGAGGGAAAACATATGATGTTATTAAATCAATGTACACTAAAAACAAATGTGCGGTTAAAATTGGAAACAAGCAAACAGACTTCTTCTCTCAGGGACGTGGAGTGAAACAGGGCTGCCCAATAAGTACAACACTATTTAACATCTACATTAATGAATTGGAAAAAACATTAGAAGAATCGGCAGCACCTGGTCTCACCCTACACAACACTGAAATCAAGTGTATGATGTACGCAGATGACCTGGTGCTACTGTTTCCCACTAAGGAGCGGTTACAGCAGCATCTAGATCATCTGCACAGGTTCTGTCAGACCTGGGCTCTGACCGTTAATCTAAAAAAAACAAATATAATGTTATTCCAAAAAAGGTCAGGAAATCAGGATGACAAATATAAATTCTATTTGGACACAGTTCTATTAGAACACACCAAAAACTACACGTATCTAGGACTAAATATCAGCAACACAGGTAGCTTTCACATGGCTGTGAATGAGCTGAGAGACAATGCAAAAAGATAATTCTATGCCATTAAAAGGAACATTAAAATCAAAATTCCAATTAGAATCTGGCTAAAACATTTCCTATCAGTTATAGAACCAATTGCTCTATATGGCAGCGAAGTATGGGGTCCGCTCTCTAATAATGAATTTACCAAATGGGACAAACATCCAATCGAAATACTGCATGCAGAGTTTTGCAGGACTGTATTGCAAGTGCAAAGAAAAACTCAAAATAACGCATGTAGAGCAGAATTGGACCAATACCCCCTCCTTATTCGAATAGAAAAAAGAGCCATCAAATTTTACAACCATCTAAAAACAAGTGACCCCAAAACATACCATCACACAGCCAGCTGGTTCTGAGACTCAGTTCACTAACCCAAACCAACCTCATAGAGCCTCAGGACAGCACTCAGAAAATCTGGCCCAACCAAATTATCACAAAGCAAAAAGAAAAATATATCACCTATTGGAAAGACACCACAAAAAATGAAAGTAAACTTCAATGCTATTTGGCTCTAAACAGACAGTCTGCCACCATGTACTATCTGACTACTCTGATAGAAAACTGAGGAAAACACTGACTAGGTACAGGCTCAGTGAGCACAGTCTGGCTATAGAGACCGGTCGTCACAGGCGAACCTGGCTGCCCAGAGAGGACAGGCTGTGCTCACTCTGCTCCAGGGGAGAGGTAGAGACAGAGCTGCATTTCCTATTACACTGTGACATATACTCAGACCTAAGAGAATATTTATTTTCCAAAATTATCATTCAGTACAAAGATTTTGAAACTATCAAATATTTATTGGGTGAAAAGCCAAAATGTGCAGTTTTGGCAGCCAAATAGTTGTACTTGTCACGATCGTTGAGAGACGGGTCAGACCAAGGTGCAGCGTGCGATGTGAACATGTTCATTTAACTCAAATAAACTCATGACAAAACAACAAAACAACGTAACCCCACAGGGGGTATGACATTTTTTTAATGTATGCACTAACTAACTGTAAGTCGCTCAGGATAAGAGCGTCTGCTAAATGACTAAAATGTAAATGTAACGTGAAGTCCAAGGCTGTACACAATACAAGCCTAACACAGGAACAAGATCCCACAACTAAGGTAGGCAAACAGGCTACTTAAGTATGATCCCCAATCAGAGACAACGAGATGTCTCTGATTGGGAATCACACCCGGCCAAACATAGAAACACAATACCTAGATCCTAAACAGAGAGATACATCACATAGATTTCCACACCCTGACTCAACATACAAGAGTTCCATACGTCAGGGCGTGACAGTCCTCCTGTCACAACCTGAGGGACAGCCAGTGAAAAGTGTAATGTAATGTTAATAATATTTCCTGTTTTGTTTTGGCTTTCAAACCATGTCATGTGTCCTCTCAGTCATGTTGAGACTGGTCGACTACTATTGCTGTAATGTATTGTTATTCTCGTTAATATTGTTGTTGTAGTTAATGGTAATCCCCATTTACACTACTACTGTTACAGTGGGGGGAAAAAATATTTAGTCAGCCACCAATTGTGTAAGTTCTCCCACTTAAAAAGATGAGAGAGGCCTGTAATTTTCATCATAGGTACACGTCAACTATGACAGGCAAAATGAGATTTTTTTTCTCCAGAAAATCACATTGTAGGATTTGTTATGAATTTATTTGCAAATTATGGTGGAAAATAAGTATTTGGTCAATAACAAAAGTTTCTCAATACTTAGATATATACCCTTTGTTGGCAATGACACAGGTCAAACGTTTTCTGTAAGTCTTCACAAGGTTTTCACACACTGTTGCTGGTATTTTGGCCCATTCCTCCATGCAGATCTCCTCTAGAGCAGTGATGTTTTGGGGCTGTCGCTGGGCAACACAGACTTTCAACTCCCTCCAAAGATTTTCTATGGGGTTGAGATCTGGAGACTGGCTAGGCCACTCCAGGACCTTGAAATGCTTCTTACGAAGCCACTCCTTCGTTGCCCGGGCGGTGTGTTTGGGATCATTGTCATGCTGAAAGACCCAGCCACGTTTCATCTGTTGATGGAAGGAGGTTTTCACTCAAAATCTCACGATACATGGCCCCATTCATTCTTTCCTTTACACGGATCAGTCGTCCTGGTCCCTTTGCAGAAAAACAGCCCCGAAGCATGATGTCTCCACCCCCATGCTTCACAGTAGGTATGGTGTTCTTTGGATGCAACTCAGCATTCTTTGTCCTCCAAACACGACGAGTTGAGTTTTTACCAAAAAGTTATATTTTGGTTTCATCTGACCATATGACATTCTCCCAATCCTCTTCTGGATCATCCAAATGCACTCTAGCAAACTTCAGACGGGCCTGGACATGTACTGGCTTAAGCAGGGGGACACGTCTGGCACTGCAGGATTTGAGTCCCTGGCTTTGTTACTTTGGTCCCAGCTCTCTGCAGGTCATTCACTAGGTCCCCCCGTGTGGTTCTGGGATTTTTGCTCACCGTTCTTGTGATCATTTTGACCCCACGGGGTGAGATCTTGCGTGGAGCCCCAGATCGAGGGAGATTATCAGTGGTCTTGTATGTCTTCCATTTCCTAATAATTGCTCCCACAGTTGATTTCTTCAAACCAAGCTGCTTACCTATTGCAGATTCAGTCTTCCCAGCCTGGTGCAGGTCTACAATTTTGTTTCTGGTGTCCTTTGACAGCTCTTTGGTCTTGGCCATAGTGGAGTTTGGAGTGTGACTGTTTGAGGTTGTGGACAGGTGTCTTTTATACTGATAACAAGTTCAAACAGGTGTCATTAATACAGGTAACGAGTGGAGGACAGAGGAGCCTCTTAAAGAAGAAGTTACAGGTCTGTGAGAGCCAGAAATCTTGCTTGTTTGTAGGTGACCAAATACTTATTTTCCACCATAATTTGCAAATAAATTCATTAAAAATCCTACAATGTGATTTTCTGGAGAGAAAAAAAATCTAAATTTGTCTGTCATAGTTGACGTGTACCTATGATGAAAATTACAGGCCTCTCTCATCTTTTTAAGTGGGAGAACTTGCACAATTGGTGGCTGACTAAATACTTTTTTTCCCCACTGTATTATTGCTGTTGGTCCCACCATTTTTGTTATATGTATACTTTGACAATGTAAGTCATTTAACTTGCCATGTCTATAAAGTCTAATGAATTGAATTGAATTAGAGAGAGAGAAAGAGAGAGAATATTGTGTTCCAGATCTCTAGCTGTGATCTACTTAAAGAGAGTGGTCGTCCTATTCACACCTCTCTTCTCCTGTCCCCAGGGTGGGATGTATGTGTTCCAGCTGTTTGACTACTACGCCTGTAACAGAACCTGTCTGCTGTTCCTCTCTGTGTTCGAGTCCCTGGCCATAGGATGGATATTTGGTGAGGCTGATATGAACTAACCTGGAATATATTTCTGTCAATGCCCTCTTTTATGTCCAATAAAAAATATGATTTATAAAAGATATATAAAACATACATATAAACAATGTGATGCCATAAAATCTTATAGAAATACAAACCAGTATCATTCCACTATCAATCTTATTGAGATGATAAACCTGATATCAATATAACATGCCAACATTTAGATCATGTCATTAACGTGTCTTTGTCTCTACCCAATCTAACCCACCAGGTGCAGAGCGTATGTATGGTGTGATAGAGGACATGACAGGGATGAGGCCTAACCCCATCTTCAAGCTCTGCTGGCTCTGGTTTCCCTGGTGAGTTCCAGGCTTTGATGGACAGTAATGGCTTGCAGGACTCACATTGTGCAATCCTATAAAACACCAACAGGTGGCATTATTACAATGCAATAGGTTACAAATTAATCGGAGCTCAGCTGTTTCTCAGAATGGCACCTGTTGCATTTGAACTTTCACTTGCTTTACACAAGCAACTATTCACATGCTCACATCTTTGAGAGACGGAATTATGGTAGTGTTCTCAACAGCAACAAAAAGGACTGATCTGGAGTTACTTTAAATGTTAAAAGCATATCTTAATGTTGAAGAAATCCTAATTTCCTCTCGTCTCTCCCATGTGTTGTTTATCTGCTCTCTGGTGGAGTACCAGTCCCTGACCTTCAACCGCTGGTATGTGTACCCACGATGGGTGTATGTTCTGGGCTGGCTGTTGGCCCTCTCCTCCATCCTCCTGGTCCCCAGGTGGGCCCTGATGCAGATCTGCACTGGAACAGGCAGTCTTAGAGAAGTGAGAGTGTGACTGACCTGTGACCGGCGTTCAAATCCGGGTTTCCTTCATGGATTGGTCATAGGATAATTATGTTTAAACGATCAAATTGGAGGAATTATAGATCTCAAATTATTTTTCAAAACTGAGTGGGTAAGTATCATTTAATCACAGCAAAATGACCATAAAGTATTGAAGAAACCAACTCACTCACTTAAAGAAACAATGAAGTTTAAATCATTAACCATTAAAGTTGACATGTTGACGTGCTGACTTTCCCCTCATCTCCCCAGCGTTTCCTCCACCTGTGTCGGCCGGACCATGACCACCCATTGACCCGGAAGAGAAAGGCTGAGCTGGAGCACATGACCTCTGGAGCAGAGACGGAGGTACTCATGACTGCAGCAAGGGAAACCACAGACAAATGAACTGACACCCACCTAGAAAAGCTTCTGTGTCAAAGTTCTTCATATACTGAACGTTTATCTTAACACAACACCTAGCTGAACTCTTGTATCTTTACCAACACGTTGAGAGAAGACCATTGATAATGAACACTGGTGCACGTTTCAATACAGTGTCGTCATGTTCCATATTTGAACAGTGTGTTGCCACCATACATTTGTAAGGACATAGCCCAAGCACAGAGCGAGCGACCTTGAGACACTGCAGATTGTCATTAATACAGTACAAAACAAAACACAATGTCCTTTCAACTGTCCCCACTCAAGGCTTAACATGGGTTACTGGCAGCTCGTGACGTACCTTTCTGAAGTCACTCCAGTTTACCTGGAAGCAGTTGTAGTCACATATAAAGGTCATCTCATTCTGTCAGTTTCTTATTATGAAAGACCATTTTTGGCCAATATAAAGCAACTCTTTGACTAATGGCATTTTTGTTATGTAAATTAGTGTTTTACCTCAACGTTAGACATCAGAAACATTGATGAATTCCCCACAAAAGGATGTTTTTCTAAAAACACAAGTTAAAGTAGATTAAAGAATAAAACGTGTTTGTCTTTATCTCACATAGAAAGTCTCCCTTAGATGAGACTCAAGAAGCAAACACATACACACCTGACTTTGTTACTATATACAGTATTTAGTCTAAAATCACAATACTTTGTCAATACTAAAACAAACTATCAAAGACCAATGTTAATACATAATTCCCTGGTAGATCTTCAAGACCCTGAATGAGATTGCCTTTTATGTTTCAATAACATCTTTAACCATTCGATACGGTTATACACTGAGTGTACAAAACATTAGGAACACCTTCCTAATATTGAGTTACACCCCCTTTGCCCTCAGAACAACCTCAATTCGTCAGGGCATGGACTCTAAAAGGAGTCGAAAGCATTCCACAGGGATGCTGGCCCATGTTGACTCCAATGCCTCCCACAGTTGTGTCAAGTTGGCTGAATGTCCTTTGGGTGGCGGACCATTCTTGATACACACGGGAAAATGTGGAGCGTGAAAAACCCAGCAGCGTTGCAGTTCTTGACACACTCAAACCGGTGCGCCTGGCACCTACTACCATACCCCGTTGTTCAAAGGCACTTAAATATTTTGTCTTGCCCATTCACCCTCTGAATGGCACACATACACAACCCATGTCTCAATTGTCTCAAGGCTTAAAAATCCTTCTTTAACCTGTCTCCTCCCTTTCATCTACACTAATTGATTGAAGTGGATTTAACAGATGACATCAATAACGGATCATAGCTTTCACCTGGTCAGTCTGTTTTATGTATGGCAAATACAAAAATAATGCACATTATCAGTATATTTTCTCTATACGGGGTGAAGTTTATTGATATTCAGCTTACAAAAAGGTAAGCTGAAGCAGAGTTTTTATGGCAGGCATTGAGTAGCATTCAGACGCTGTGCAGAAATACAGTGTAGCGTAGCGCTGTTCGTTTCAACATTGTCTCACGCGTCATTAAACGTTCAACCTCTTCCCTTCAGCATCTCCAGGAATTTCCTCAAGCAGTCTTTGAAGAAGAGGCCAAAACAACCTTTATTGTCTTTGTTTGGGAGGCTAGTAATGTCTCTGCTGGGGTAACCGTTGGAAACATGTTACTATACAGACTACATACTTTGGGTTCATTGGAGCATGAACTGAATTGATTGTTACACAGGGTTACAAACTGGCCAGGTGCCCTGCGTTTCCCTGGGCAGGTGCTAGAGAAAACCCCATGGGTGGAACTGTCAGGGGGCATGATGGTGAATGTCTCAGGGGGTTTGGCTCTGGCCTGCCCAGAGTGAGAGCGGGACGTGGTGACGCTGATTAGAGAATGCCAGGGAAACAGGGCAGTACTGTGGGAGCAGATCTGATATGGGGGCCAGGAGGGGCGAGGGTGGGGCCGGGGCCTCCAAACCATTGTGGGTATGAGTGGCGATATTAGGGCCAACTGAATCTCTCTTGAAACTGGCGTCCCGTCCCACTCCTGGCTCTGGACTATAACTGTGGTGATCCTCTTCACTCCCCAGGTTCTTGAGGCTGGGGTAGCAGCCTGACTGAGCCATAGCCTGGTGTATCCTCTCCCAGCCCGCGTTGGCTGTGTTGGCATTGGGATCGTTGTTCTTGGGACTGTTGTTGTTATAGGGGTTGTTGTTGTCGTTGTTATTACTGGGGTTGTTGTTATTGGGGTTGTTGTTGTTGTGATGGTTGGTGGCCTGCAACAGCAGCTGGGTGTGCTGGCGGAGCTGGGTGATGTCTCGGTCTGTGGCGTTGGTCTGACGGAGGAGGTCCTGGGTGCGCAGCGTGATGTCAAGCAGGCCTGACTGGCTTAGGATGCCCACCGTGTTCAGGAAGCGCCTGTCGCGCGCCGCACTGAACTGGGACAGGCCTGGACTGTGCCTGCGGGGCCACCTGCTGGCCGGGAGGGGAGAGGAGCCACCGGAAGAGGAGTAGGAGGAGGCGGTGGTGGTGTCGGAGCTGGACACAGAGGGGGAGCCAAAGCTGGAAAGTGTGGAGGGAGATCGAGAGCGGGGTCGAGAGCGGGGACTAGGGGAGTGGGAGAAGGCAGGGCTCCTCCAGTGGGACAGGCTTCTCTTGGGGTCCGGCTGATTCCGGACATGTTTTCTGGTTGGTGTCAGTAAGTGAGTAGTAGTGGACACCTCATCCCTCTTGTCCTGGCTCTGGTCCTCATTGCCAGTCCCCTTAACATGGGGGTCCACTGGGGTCTTGTCTGAGGGCTTCTTGCTGGGATGTGGGGCGATACGGGGGTAGGACTTAAGAATGGGCAGGTAGGTTCTGCTTTTGGTTTTCCTGGCTGTGCTGTCAGCTCTCCGGGACTGTGTTCTGTGGGGCTTTGGGGATGCGGGTGAGGGCGAGGCTTCACTGGGCTGCTGGACCAGGATCACATGACAGGGGCCAGATTCATTGGAACTTCCTCCTCTGTTCTCCCAGTTTAGCTGGTTCTGGAGGTGATGGTCTGAGCCATTCTGGAGGGGAGGGGGGGGCAGGAAATATGAAAGATGAAGGGAAGATGAGAGAAAGACAGGCAACTCCTCGTGCTAACACATACTGTAAAGAAAAGGGCAACTTATTTGAGGGGACTTGCTGTAAGAGTCTTATGGTGCCATCAAATACATCCCTTAAACCATTTGATCATTCTGACCTGGCTCACTGTAACATTTATCAGACAACTCATTTTCTGATGATTCAAAAGCTGCTTTCTTCCTCACACTCTGTCCCCGTCATCTCCTCTTCCTCCTCCACCTGTCACCTCTTCTACCTGTCTCTGTCACCCCCTCTTCCTCCTTCACCTGTTCCCTCCTCTTCCTCCTCCACCTGTCCCTGTCACCACCTCTTCCTCCTCCACCTGTCACCCGCTCTTCCTCCTCCACCTGTCACATCCTCTTCCTCCTCCACCTGTCACCTCCTCCTGTCACCTCCTCTCCTCCTCCGCCTGTCACCTCTTCTTCCTCCTCCTCCTGTCCCCTCCTCTTCCTCCTGTCCCTGTCACCTCCTCTTCCTCCTCCTCTTGTCACCTCTTCTTCCACCTGTCGCTGTCCCCTCCTCTTCCTCCTCCGCCTGTCACCTCCTCTTCCTCCTCCGCCTGTCACCTCCTCTTCCTCCTCCGCCTGTCACCTCCTCTTCCTCCTCCACCTGTCACCTCCTCTTCCTCCTCCACCTGTCACCTCCTCTTCCTCCTCCACCTGACACCTCCTTTTCCTCCTCCACCTGTCACCTCCTCTTCCTCCTTTCTATTTGTCTCTCCTTTTAGTTCTCCTGCCTTATGATTGCCCACCTCCTGTGCTGTCTTTCTTATCAGTTTCATGCTCTAGTCCTCCCATCTCTTCAATGCTTTTCAATTAGGAACATTTGGAATTGGAATTTGGTTTACTTTCTCAATTGACTAACTGAGTGGAATTGACCTCAAGCCTGCCTCCCACCTCTCTCACCTGTTTGAGCACCACGTTCTTGATGATGAAGATGGGGGTGAGGTCGGGGCCTCCGGGCTTGACCTGGCCCTGAAGACCTTCCCTTCCCCTGGGTTCATTCGCGCTGCTGCCCTGGTCCTCTCTATCCACATGGAGCCAGTCTGTACAGCTGTTGTCTGGAGGAGAGGAAGAAGGAGAGGGGGAGAGAGAGAGAGGGGGAGGGAGAGAGAGGGGGAGAGAGAGAGATGGGGAGAGAGAGAGAGGGGGAGAGAGAGAGAGGGGGAGAGAGAGAGAGGGAGCCGAGAGGAGAGAGGGACAGAGAGAGAGAGAGAGGGAGAGAGAGGGAGAGAGGAGAGAGAGGAGAGAGAGAGAGAGAGAGAGGAGAGAGAGGAGAGAGAGAGAGAGAGAGAGAGAGAGAGAGAGAGAGAGAGAGAGAGAGAGAGAGAGAGAGGCATTCAAATGCAAATCAATTTATAACATTTTTTACATGCATTTTTCTGGATTTTTTTGTTGTTATTCTGTCTCTCACTGTTCAAATAAACCTACCATTAAAATTATAGACTCATCATTTCTTTGTCAGTGGGCAAACGTACAAAATCAGCAGGGGATCAAATACTTTTTTCCCTCACTGTATGTATATATATGTGTGTGTGTTTGTATGTATATATATTTTTTTTATTTTTTTCAATGTACTTTACTCAAACCAGTGAATATCACTTATTATAAATGAGATCATTAACTATCAGCTCTTGGAATATCCAGGGCCTATACTCTTCACATTTTGGTTCTAAAACAACAAATCCAGAATTTCTTAAAAACATCAAGGGACAGGACATCATAATCCTACTGGAACATGGTGTCGTGGAGACATTGATACTCAGTGTCCCTCAGGCTATAGAGAAAGTTTACTACCATCAATCAAAACTAAAAATGTTAAACAGGGCTGGGACTCAGGTGGAATAATAATTTGGCATAAGAAGGATTTAGCACTGAATGAAATGAATAAAGGTACTAGCCACATTTGGCTAAAACTTAACAAAGGTACAATCTATTGTGACAATGATGTATACATATGTGCAGCTTATGTTCCTCCTTCAGATTCATCATTTTATGATGATCCGTTTTTTGACAATCTCAATACAGAAATCCTTCAATTTCAGGCAGAGGGTAAAGTGCTTCTTTGTCAAGATTTCAATGCGAGAACAGGTTCTGAGCCTGACTACACTGATGCGGGAGGTTACGTCCACATATTTGGACACCCCTCCTTGTACAGTAGCCCTATTATAAATAATAGAAACAGTCCTGACCAAATACTGAACAAAAACGGGAAGGAGTTAGTGCATCTCTGTCAAGCCTTATGCCTGTACATGCTTAATGGTAGAATCAGAGGGGACTCTTTATGTCGGTTTACTTACTGCTCAGCTCTTGGGACAAGTGTAGTCGATTATGCCATCACTGACATCGACCCTTCCTCCATTAGTGCATTCACTGTCAGACCACAGACACCATTGTCAGATCACAGTCAGATCAACGTGTTTCTGAAGAAATTAACCAGCAATACCCATTAAAAAAACAGCCCAATAAACTCTACAACATGAACCAATCGTACAGATGGGCTCCAAACAGTGCAGAGAAATTAATTGAAACATTGAACTCAAATGAAATGATTAACTCTATACAGGTCTTCAATAACTCACAACACCAAAACAATAAAGAAGGTGTCAATTCGGCTACTCAAAACATCAATTGAATATTCCAAAAAGCAGCATCAAAAGCAAATTTGAGAAAACCAAAGAAATACATCAGAAACAAAAAACAAAATGTTTCTGAAAAATGGTTTGATAACGAATGTAAAACAATTAGAAAACACCTAAGACAAATGTCAAATGATAAACATAAGCAGCAAAACAACCCAGAGCTACGCTATAAATACTTTGAAACTATGAAACAATATAAACATATACTGAAACGCAAGAAATTGAATTATATCAAAAAGACACTTGATGAAATTGAAAACGCAATTGACCAAAATCAGTTCTGGGACATGTGGAACAATTTAAGCACGACAAAGCCACAAGAATTAGCTGTACAAGATGAAGGTTTTTGGAAAACTTATTTTGATAATCTATACAAAAACATCCCACAAAAAGACTTGAATCCGTCATTAAAAACAACCAAAATCCATTAGATTACCCAATAACCCAACAAGAACTAAATGAAATGCTAAAATCTATAAAACCAAAGAAAGCTTGTGGTCTAAATATCAGAAATGAAATGCTGGAAAAACAGCACACTTGAGTTGCAAAATGCTGTGCTTAAATTGTTCAACATGGTACTAACTTCTGGCTGCTTTCCTGACGTCTGGAACCAGGGGCTCATCTCCCCTATCCACAAAAGTGGAGACAAATCAGACCCCAATAATTACAGGGGAATATGTGTAAACTGCAACTTGGGAAAGGTTTTCTGTCGCATTTTTATTTCAAGAATTCAAACCTTTCATCAAGAAAAAAATGTAATAAGTACAGTTGAAGTCGGAAGTTTACATACACTTAGGTTGGAGTCATTAAAACTTGTTTTTCAACCACTCCACAAATTTCTTGTTAACAAACTAGTTTTGGCAAGTCGGTTAGGACATCTACTTTGTGCATGACACAAGTAATTTCTCCAACAATTGTTTACAGACAGATTATTTCACTTATAATTCACTGTATCACAAATCCAGTGGGTCAGAAGTTTACATACACTAAGTTGACTGTGCCTTTAAACAGCTTGTAAAATTCCAGAAAATGATGTCATGGCTTTAGAAGCTTTTGATAGGCTAATTGACATCATTTCAGTCAATTGGAGGTGTACCTGTGGATGTATTTCAAGGCCTACCTTCAAACTCAGTGCCTCTGCTTGACATCATGGGAAAATCAAAAGAAATCAGCCAAGACCTCAGAAAAAAATTGTAGACCTCCACAAGTCTGGTTCATCGTTGGGAGCAATTTCCAAACGCCTGAAGGTACAACGTTCATCTGTACAAACAATAGTACGCAAGTATAAACACCATGGGACCACGCAGCTGTCATACCACTCAGGAAGGAGACGCGTTCTGTCTCCTAGAGATGAACGTACTTTGGTGCGAAAAGTGCAAATCAATCCCAGAACAACAGCAAAGTACCTTGTGAAGATGCTGGAGGAAACAGGTACAAAAGTATCTATATCCACAGTAAAACGAGTCCTATATCGACATAACCTGAAAGGCTGCTCAGCAAGGAAGAAGCCACTGCTCCAAAACCGCCATAAAAAAGCCAGACTATGGTTTGCAACTGCACATGGGGACAAAGATCGTACTCTGGTACCTCTGGTCTGATGAAACAAAAATAGAACTCTTTGGCCATAATGACCATCATTATGTTTGGAGGAAAAAGGGGGTCACTTGCAAGCCAAAGAACACCATCCCAACCGTGAAGCATGGGGATGGCAGCATCATGCTGTGGGGGTGCTTTGCTGCAGGAGGGACTGGTGCACTTCACAAAATAGATGGCATCATGAGGAAGATAAAATTATGTGGCTATATTGAAGCAACATCTCAAGACATAAGTCAGGAAGTTAAAGCTTGGTCGCAAATGGGTCTTCCAAATGGACAATGACCCCAAGCATACTTCCAATGTTGTGGCAAAATGGCTTAAGGCCAACAAAGTCAAGGTATTGGAGTGGCCATCACAAAGCCCTGACCTCAATCCTCCTATACATTTTGGGCAGAACTGAAAATGTGTGTGCGAGCAAGGAGGCCTACAAAGCTGACTCAGTTACACCAGCTCTGTCAGGAGGAATGGGCCAAAATTCACCCAACTTATTGTGGGAAGCTTGTGGAAGGCTACCCGAAATGTTTGACCCAAGTTAAACAATTTAAAGGCAATGCTACCAAATACTAATTGAGTGTATGTAAACTTCTGACCCACTGGGATTGTGATGAAAGAAATAAAAGCTGAAATAAATTGTTCTCTCTACTATTATTCTGACATTTCACATTCTTAAAATAAAGTGGTGATCCTAACTGACCTAAGACAGGGAATTTTTACTAGGATTAAATGTCAGGAATTGTGAAAAACTGAGTTTAAATGTATTTGGCTAAGGTGTATGTAAACTTCCGACTTCAACTGTAAATGTCACATTGGCTTTCTCCCCAACCTTACCTGGTTAAACAAAGGTGAAATAAAATAAATAAAAACCATCGCACTACTGACCATATATACACCTTACACACACTAATTAATAAATACGTCCACCAAAAAAAAGAGGGCAAAATCTTTGCTTGCTTTATTGACTTTAAAAAAGCATTCGATTCTATTTAGCACGAAGGGCTATTCTTCAAAGATCTCCAAAGTGGGCTTGGTGGTAAGGTGTATGACTTAATAAAATGTATGTACACCGAAAACAAGTGTGCAATAAAAATCTAAAACCAAAGAACATAATTATTTTCTCAATGTCGAGGTGTGAGACAAGGCTGCAGTTTGAGTCCAAACCTTTTCAACATTTATATAAATGAATTAGCAGACATGTTGGACCATTCTGCAGCCCCAGGACTCACACTATTTGACACAGAGGTAAAATTCCTGCTATATGCTGATGATTTGGTACTTCTATCACCAACCAAAGAAGGTCTTCAACAGAATCTTAACATTCTAGAGCAATATTGCCATAATTGGGCCCTGGCAGTAAATTTCAAAAAAACAAAAATCATGATTTTCCAGAACAAAAACCAGATGTCAGAAACACACATATAAATTCACCCTGGACAACACCCTAATTGAACACACTAAAAATGACTCATACCTTGGTCTGACCATATCTGCATCGGGGAAACTTTAATATGGCAGTGAATGCACTCAAAGAAACAGCCTGCAGAGCATTGTATGAAATAAAAATGAAATTATTCAAAATCAACATCCCAATTAGAATTTGGACCAAAATATTTGACAGCGTAATCCTACCAATAGCTCTTTAAGGAAGTGAGGTTTGGGGGCCACTCAATAAACTGGACTTTAAAATGTGGGACAAACACCCAATTGAAGCCCTACATGCAGAATTCTGTCGGACAATTCTACAAGTCCAAAGAAATACACCAACTAATGCATGTAGGGCAGAATTGGGCCGCTTTCCAGTGGTAATGAAAGTACAAAAAAGATCATTAAAATTTTGGCTACACCTAAATTCAAGTCCAAATTCAAGTCTCCAATTTAAAGCACTTCAAACCCAAGAGCTGAGCACAGAAACGAGCCCTCTCAGTCAGCTGGTGTTGGACCTAACCAACCAAGCTGACAGCAGCACTGCTTCAAAATAAATAATTCAAATAAACAAAATCATGAACCAATCAAAGGACTCATATTTACAACATTGGAAAAACAAAACAAAATCCCAAAGCCGACTAAATTGCTATCTGGCTCTGAACAGAGAATATGAATTGGCTGATTATCTCTACTCTGTCAGAGATACGAAGCAGAGAGATACTTACCAAGTACAGGCTGAGTGACCACCAATTGGCAATAGAAACCGGCAGACATAAAAAAAACATGGCTACCCAAAGAGGAGTGTGTATGTGGTCACTGCACGACAGGGGAGGTAGAAACAGAGATGCACTTTCTCCTTTACTGTGAGAAATATTCCTCACCAAGAGATTCATTATTCACTGAAATTACTACATTTATTCCAAATTTTAACTTATTAAACCCAGAGGAAAAACTAAAAATAGTCATGGGCGAGGGAGCAACGGCTCCTCTTGCAGCCAAATATGTATTTGCCTGCCATAGCCTGAGGGACACTGAATAATTACATCTGCATAGTAAGCAGTAATTTACTTATTATTAGTATTATTATTATTGTTATCATTATTATTATTATTATGAATAATATTGTTATTACTATTATTATTATTATTATTGTTGTGATTATTATTCTAAATGGTAGTTGTACGGGTAGTAGGGGTGATGGTAATGATAGCAGTTTAATGATGGTGGTGGTGGTAGTAGTAGTAGTAATGATGATGGTAGTTGTAGTACTGATGTAATGGTGAGGATGACAGTTAGTTATAAGTCAGTTATAGTTTCATTTTCCATATTTAGCCTTTTCTATGTATTATATTTCTATTGACTGTTACCATTTTATTGTTGTTATTTATGTATTATTATTTACTACCATTTTATATTATTATTTGTTATTCTTTATTTTATTACAATGTATTGTTGCTTTGGCAATATTGACACAATGTTTTTCATGCCAATAAAGCAGCCTGAATTTGAATTTAGAGAGAGAGAGAAGCAGGTTAAGGGAAGAGTGGAGTGTAAAGAATTGAAGAAATACAGGGGGGGATGGGAGCTGTCCTCACAAGAAATGTGACACACGATTCCTTTAATACCATTTCCCACTGGTTACTGAGTGAGTCATGTAACTGTGAGGTCATACTCACACATCATCAAGGACAGTAATTTAGTACTCCTCATGAAGGAATTCATGGAATTATATCAGCAATACTCCAGTGTGCATGTAGACTACATGTGTGTCCTTCTCTATCTAGGAATACAACACTTCAGACTGATTGGTTGCACATCACATACTTGTCATACTGTAGTCAGTAATCCTATTGGGAGCTGTGACATGCACTGCCTGGCCTATGAGTGAGCATGTGTCATGACTCATGAGGGAGTCTGGCAGTGTGAGAAACGCATTGAGTGAGAAAGAGCGAGGGGGTGGGTGGGTGTTTGACACGTTTTGGGGGCGAGTGAGTGTCCGGAATGTTCTCCCTCACCGGAATATCCAGAATCTTTTTCAGAGCCGCAGCGAGAGCCTCTTCTGTAGGACTCGGTGTCTGCAGTACTCCTTGAGGCCAGCAGGGTGGCAGCGTTGCTCCTGTCCTTGACATGCTTGCTGGATGCACGTGGCTCTCGCCCACTTAGACAAGCCTGCTCCAGAGGCATACTGAGCTCTGATGAAGAACCAAATACACACCATTGAGTAACATCTCCCTGGAATATGTTTTAAAATGCGTAGGCCTATGGTACTTCAAAAAGCTCCTGTCACAAAATAGAAACACTTTGGCTCCAAGTACCAGAAAAAATGATCTAGTGAGGAGTTTTTCTTTTGTGGGTTGAAATGACATTATTATGTATGCTGCTGGATACATAATCTCTGATTTAGCTCCTCCTCCTCAGTCACTTCTCCCTCCACAGCCCCGTTCCCTTTGTCTGTCTGTCTCCTCTTCACTCCTAGATACAGCAGGGTCCTGTGTGTGTGGGCTGTACGTGTGTGTGTCGGGAGGATGGGGGGGATGGGTGGGTGGGCTATGTGGGGGGGGGGGAGGGGGGGGGGGGTGTGTGTGTGTTTGATAATATCACATCCACCCACTAATTAAACATCACCATGAAAAATACACATTTTTTGCATTTTTTACATTTACATTTACGTCATTTAGCAGACGCTCTTATCCAGAGCGTCTTACAGTTAGTGTAATAATAATAATAATTTATACATTAATAATACATTATTATTATTATTTTTTATTTATTTTTTTTCATACTGGCCCCCCGTGGGAATTGAACCCACAACCCTGGCGTTGCAAACGCCATGCTCTACCAACTGAGCTACATCCCTGCCGGCCATTCCCTCCCCTACCCTGGACGACGCTGGGCCAATTGTGCGCGGCCCCATGACCAGACATGATGGCACACTAAGGGAGATGTTAAATCATGGTGGTTAACATAGATATGATCATGAGAGCTTCAGAAGTGATTTAGCATATTTATGTGTGTGTGGGGAAGTCTTTAGAGCGATATACTGTATACGGATGTAAATGTGCTTCTTTATGTAACACTGTGTGACCCTATAGGTTAACCCTATTCTGACAGACATGTTTACACAATTTCGTCTCTCCTCCCTCCATCCCTCTCTCTTTCCCCAATCTCTCAATTTTCTCTCTTTAAGTGACAGTATCTGAAAAAAAAATATATATATTATATAAACAGCTCAAGCCCCACCATGAATTTCAGCTGTTGAGGTAAACATATTTGTCTCTTGGAGAAGAGCTTTAAGTCAGTCATGGGACTTGTAAGCAGAAAGATTGGATAAAAATCGATGTATTAAACAATAGCTGACTAAATGAAATCTATTTGCACCTCAAGCTTTTTAGAGGGGCACAAAGTAACGCTGTGCGTCTATATAGCCCCCTGAGAACTTACACTTTCTTGTTCATGATGATACACAATGGCAGGTTTTAAGACGTTCCGACGAAGCTTTTGTTTATAGGTAACTTTCTGTGGTGTTATTTTGTAAACAAAGGGCCACTAGGACAAACGTGTATGATGTGTATCAAACGTGCGCGGCTCCTCCCCTATCCCTTATGTAACATCACAACTTCGGCAGAGCTGACACACTTGCTCTATTGCTTTACACATTAACAAACGCGATATACAAAACGCACGAAATAAATCAGAAATAATTAGGCCTAATAAATCAATCAAAGAAAGAACATGACAACTATATTTGTCAGCAGGTTTAAACCAGGTCTAAAAGTCCACATATAAAGCAACTGTGGTCAGTGCGCCTTTTAAATTAAATTATTGTTTTAAAAGTCTCAGTCTCAAAGTATATTTAAAAAACAGCTTACCTCCAATAACAATTTAGACTCTTTGCCACTGGTGGTTCACTTCACTTGCATAGCGCTCCGTATCGCCTTATTTTTGACTAGAGCACCTCATTTATAGCTCTATCTTTTCAACGTTTTCCTTATGTCATGTCATCTCTGCGTGTGTTTCGCTGCGTTTCTATTACATATATCTCATTCAATTTATAAACTAGCTGCCGGAATTTGAAGACTACCTGTAGCCGAGACGAGCGCAAATCCGAAGATTAATAATCGGTCCCCAACCTGAAAATGGCCCCGCCTCCTAGACCTCCCCGCGGGTTCCACTAGTTGCCACAGCCACAAAGTCAAAATTGGCTATAGGCCTATTGTAAAAATTAATTGATTTTTTTTTTGTTGCTTTTTGGTCGTAATTTAAAGTTAGGGATAAGGGTAGGAGTATGGTTAAAGTTAAAATTAGGTTTAAAAATCACATTTTAAGAAGATACATTGTAGACATATTAAGGGTTTATGACTTTGTGGCTATGGTAGCTAGTGACGACCCTCCCCTTGCTAGAATGACAATCTGTTCCCGTCGATATTAAGAGATTGCTCGTGCGCGGCCCTCCAGCCCACATGTGGGAGCATGTAGCATAATAAAGACTACTTAGTTTGCTGGACACGTGTAGGGGTGGGACCGCATGAGTTTTGAGCTGAAGGGACTGGATGAGAACGTCAGGACTTGAGTAACAGAGGTGTGACTAGAGTGATGACGTTTGGACAGAATATCATAGGGACAAACAGAGATCCTATTAAATTACCAAATTATATGGGGACAAAGCTCTACCTATTCTGTTATTTCTATATCGTCTTTCTTTGGGTCACTGGACTTGTTATGCTACAGCCTAGGCTACACTTAACATCCTACGTCAACTGGACTAATGAAAAGAGACCGACAGGGAAGCATGGTGTGATTTAAAAATAGATTCATGCATACATTTTTTGCCTTCCCTATGGGAGAATTAGAATTGCTACATTGTTGCTACATTTCACGTGTCTCTCAGATGTGAAATGTGCCATAGTTCATCAGTCAGCTGGTCCAGAACTCATCCACATGGCTCTCCGACGAACGACTCTCAGCCAGTGAGTGCCACGGGATCTGGTCGAGCACGTGAGCAGAGCCTAAGGAGGCGGGGTTAGGCAAATGAGCACATGCTGCTAGCAGACAGAGCACTGATTGTACAGCCAGGGAGACTATAGAAACCCTGACAAGTGGCGTAGCAGTTCCGCACGCACGCTACTGCGTGGGTAAAGTCACCGCGGAAGCCAAGTGATAATTGATTTGTTTGCTCTATAACCTGTTAGTTCATATGCCTTGACACCTTGATATATAGGCCTAAATCCGAGACAATAAAAAGACACAGTGGCAGAACAAATTCAACCATACATTTGTTTTATTACAAAACCAGAGAGCAACATCTGTCCAGTGAAGTCCACAAAGCATATTGCATGTAACAAACAGTTACATGACCTACAGCATGGTCAAGCAAGGTAATGTTTCCGACATTTTCAGACTACTAAACAACTAATGATTTAAAAACATGGAGAGTTACCCCAAGTCGCAAAGAAAACAGGAACGGCCTCCACTAATCCAGCACCATTTCAACATCTGTTTAGTCTAATACAGTGACAACTAAAATATACCCGAAACGATATAGTACAATCAACTTAAGCTAAGTATGTGGCTGTCCATGGTAATGATTGTGTGTGTGCGTGCAAGTAGAAAAACCATGTTGATTCACCCCATCCTCTTTCATGTTGCCTAAACGGTCTATGACTGTCATACAGTACATGCTTTAAGTTTGTCCGAGGCTACCTGGCTAAACTGCTTGTTCGCTAGCCTCGGATGCTTTCTGGTGAGATACATTTCTTTCAATTCGCATAAGGCTACATGTATGAAACACAGAGTCTGGCTTCCCTTAGCATCCATGAATACACGGCCCTGTCCGCAAGGTCCACAAATATTCGTCTTAATATTAACGTTTGAAATATATATTTTGAAAGACCAAAGTATCAGCTATCACAGGGGGTTACCAAACCCCCTCCCCCCCCAAACTGTTGACAACTATTTTTTTCAGGTTTAACGGTTATTTCTTGCAATTCTCTACATTTTTCCGTTGTGTATTCATGTGATATGAGTGACTCAAACATTACAACAAAATCTATGGGCTAAAAAAAACCTCGCTTAAACAGCTGACCTGGACATTTCTGACAAGTTATAAATAGCTACGTTTGGGAACCACTGAGCTACCAAACCACAAAAGGAACAACCTACTTTTTTTCTTCATAAAATGCTATTGGATTTATGTCAACTCTGTTAGGACACCATAAAAGGCATTTCATTTTTCAATTATTGTCCAACAAGTGTTAAGGCCTTGATTATTTAATTCTAACATTGGATTATTCAAATATGTAATACAAATCTCCAAAACTTTTTGGTTTTATAGCACTATTAAATGCTACAGTGCTAATTTCATTCAAATTTTGGCATGTTTTTCCTAGATTTAGAACATAAAACATTTATAAAGCAAACATTATCCCTTAAGTCTAACACAGCAACATCAATTGTTTAAGCATATGTTGAACAGTGATGACCATAATTCTTCAGAATACTAAAAACAGACACTTTTGCCTTGAATAAATTTTTTTAATACAAACATTGGTGGAAAATGATTCATTTGAAAATCCTCAATAAAAACAACTATTCTATCAGATCTTTCAGCACTAACGGCGTTGACGTTAGCCATAAATCTGCCAGAGTTGACAAAAATTGAATTTCATTCAAGTGGTTTACACACTAGCAATTTAGTTTTTCCTCAGTTGCTTTGACTCAGACATAATTAATTGTAATATATTTGAACCAAAATTCAAATTCCATTTTAATCTCAGGCAGATTAAGTTGACAGTTTATGGCCTGGCTATGTGAATAAGGGCAGGCAGAAATCTAGAGGTAGCTTACAAAGAAATGCCAGCAGACTGACATTTAGCAGCAGTCATAACTTTATTTAACATTATTAAAAGTTCCAATAAACCATGTCACATTTAAACAATAGATGCCTGCTTTGTCCCAACATCAACTGAACAAATTACAAGAAAAACATTTTTTTTTTTTTTAAACAGATGGATCGGAAGACAAAACGTGTATTTTCTTTTCTCACAATTACATCGAAGATAAGAGCATAAAAGAAATGTGGCACTGGCCAGGCCAGAACAAGGACTCAAGTCCTGCTTAACCAAACAAGTCAGTTTGATACTGCATATTATATTGACGTCCCCTTCCTCCGCCACACACCTCCTTGATGTGGTGGGTCAAATGTATTCTAGCAAGCCTTCATCCCATCTCAAGCATGCCCGTTTACAATATGAAATGTCTGTCAGAGGTAACAGGTGACTTTAGGGTCCAACAAACCCTCTGCTGTCCTCGAAGTCAATCCTCATTTAGGACGTCTGCCTCGCTGAATTCATTAGAACGTGATCCTCATTCCCTCCTCCTAAAATGGTTCATTCCCATAGAAAAACAGTGACACACCTCACTCTCCTCTTCATGTGTAGGCTACGGTGGGGCTTCAGGTGTGTGCAGTGGGCAGGCCCAGCAGACAGGGGGCACTCAGCAGGGTCGGGTGGCTGCTGACGTGCATGGTCCCTGCTGTGAAGTACTTGAGGAAAGTAGCACGGGTCTCTCTGCTCTGGGCCCGGGCTGCAGCCCCTGCCTGGATTTACATTATCCTCAGCAGGGTCGTCTCACTGAAAGAGGCAGACAGGAGAAAGAGGTGGGGTCAAAATACAACAGAGAAGAAGTACATTACACTTCAAAGTCTGATAGGGAATCATCTGTCAAGTGTATTTTAAAATCAGTGTGGAGACAAGGATAAAATAATTTTGACAATTGAGAAAGAGCCTCTCCTCACCTGCCTATGTGGATATTGGCGGCAACACACCAGGCACTCTCCCTCTGGGGTGGGGGGCTCCTGCAGTACCCTACGAGCCAGACAGAGGGCAGCACCAGCCAGGTGGGCAGCCAGGAACAGCACACACTGTCCCTCCAGCAGAGAGAGCTCCAGCAGGTAACGAGACATCCACACCACCTGGACGTAGAAACAAGGGGGATGGTCCAGGTTGTCTTTAATGCGGTCGTGCGGCACATCTCAGAAGACTAACATGTTCATGTGGATCTGATAATCTGAGCAGTTTGACTAGCAAATAGGTTAAAGCAATCATTTGGCCAATGCGGTTTCTGTCTAAACCTTCCAAGGGTGCCACTTTGTCCTCCATAGCACTTGCTAAGTGATAATTGACCCTGCCGCGTTGTGCTTTTTATTTCTGAACGTTTTCAATCCCTATGAAGATCTCCAGTGAAGGCAGAAACAATTTGACACTACAACACAGAACCACATTATCCTGAATGCTAATCAATAAAAACATCTTAAATTCACTGCTCTGTGTTGCTTGTTTACAGTGGGTCATTTCATAGGGAACTGTCAGAGGCGCTCTCGTGTTACATCACCAACATTTAGAGTGTAAAGGAGCAAACATGGTGTCCGTTCTAAAACCTGGCCGAACTCTGCTCTGGGTTAAAGTGTTGCGGGTTCACCCACCTTGGCGCTGCAGTGGGCGATTGAGGCAGAGAGGAGCAGGAAATGCAGCGGAGAGCAGTGGGAAATCTCAAACTTCAGCTCAGTGAGGACTCAGCGCTCCATACGGAGCAGCTGTCTCTTGGAGTAGCTGTTCTCCATGAGGAAGCACAGCTCAGACACCTGGAGGAGAGAGGGAGGGGGTTGGAGAATACTAGAGAAAGGCCTGGTCCAAAAACAACCCTGCCCAATCCCCTTTTCCTGTAGCTCCCACAGTCGGCATTTGCAGGTCTGGAAGAACCCGACATACAGTGCATTCGGAAAGTATTCAGACCCCTTGACTTTGTTGTGTTACAGCCTTATTCTAAATTTGATTAAATTGTCGTCGTCGTCCCCCCCCCCCCCCCCAAAAAAAAAAAAAAAAAAAAAAAAAAAAAATCAATCTACACACACTACCCCATAATGACAAAGCAAAAACAGGTTTAGAAATGGTTTGCAAACGTATATATAAAAAAAAAAAGGGAAATATCACATTTACATACAGTACCAGTCAAAAGTTGGGACACACCTACTCATTCCAAGGGTTCTCTTTATTTTCTACATTGTAGAATAATAGTGAAGACACCAAAACTATGAAATAACACATATGGAATCATGTAGTAACCAAAGAGTTAAACAAAATCAAAAATATATATTTTATATTTGAGATTCTTCAAAGTAGCCACCATTTGCTTTGATGACAGCTTCAAATCAAATCCAATCAAATTTTATTGGTCACATGCGCCGAATACAACAGGTGCAGACATTACAGTGAAATGCTTACTTACAGCCCTTAACCAACAGTGCATTTATTTTAAACAAAAAAGTAAGAATAAAACAACAACAAAAAAGTGTTGAGAAAAAAAGAGCAGAAGTAAAAATAAAGTGACAGTAGGGAGGCTATATATACAATAGAATAAAGTGACAGTAGGGAGGCTATATATACAGGGGGGTACCGTTGCATAGTCAATGTGCGGGGGCACCGGCTAGTTGAGGTAGTTGAGGTAATATGTACATGTGGGTAGAGTTAAAGTGACTATGCATAAATACTTAACAGAGTAGCAGCAGCGTAAAAAGTATGGGGTGGGGGGGCAGTGCAAATAGTCCGGGTAGCCATGATTAGCTGTTCAGGAGTCTTATGGCTTGGGGGTAGAAGCTGTTGAGAAGTCTTTTGGACCTAGACTTGGCACTCCGGTACCGCTTGCCGTGCGGTAGCAGAGAGAACAGTCTATGACTAGGGTGACTGGAGTCTTTGACAATTTTGAGGGCCTTCCTCTGACACCGCCTGGTATAGAGGTCCTGGATGGCAGGGAGCTTTGCCCCTGTGATGTACTGGGCCGTACGCACTACCCTCTGTAGTGCCTTGCGGTCAGAGGCCAAGCAGTTGCCATACCAGGCGGTGATGCAACCAGTCAGGATGCTCTCGATGGTGCAGCTGTAGAATTTTTTGAGGATCTGAGGACCCATGCCAAATCTTTTTAGTCTCCTGAGGGGGAATAGGCTTTGTCGTGCCCTCTTCACGACTGTCTTGGTGTGTTTGGACCATGATAGTTCGTTGGTGATGTGGACACCAAGGAACTTGAAGCTCTCAACTCAAAGCTTTGCACACTCTTGGCATTCTCTCAACCAGCTTCATGAGGTAGTCACCTGGAATGCATTTCAATTAACAGGTGTGCCTTCTTAAAAGTTAAGGAAAGAAATTCTACAAATTAACACGTTTGAGCCAATCAGTTGTGTTGTGACAAGGTAGGGGTGGTATACAGAAGACAGCCCTATTTGGTAAAAGACCAAGTCCATATTATGGCAAGAACAGCTCAAATAAGCAAAGAGAAACGACAGTCCATCATTATTTTAAAGAAAGGAAGGTCAGTCAATCCGGAAAATTTCAAGAACTTTGATAGTTTCTTCAAGAGCAGTCACAAAAACCATCAAGCGCTATGATGAAACTGACTCTCATGAGGACCGCCACAGGAAAGGAAGACCGAGTTACCTCTGCTGCAGAGGATGAGTGCATTAGAGTTACCAACCTCAGAAATCAGCAATTATCTGCACCTCAGATTGCAGCCCAAATAAATGCTTCACAGAGTTCAAGTAACAGACATCTCAACATCAACTGTTCAGACACTGCGTGAATCAGGCCTTCATGGCCCCGTGTAGCTCAGTTGGTAGAGCATGGCGCTTGCAATGTCAGGGTTGTGGGTTCGTTTCCCACGGGGGGCCAGTATGAAAATGTATGCACTCACTAACTAAGTCGCTCTGGATAAGAGCGTCTGCTAAATGAGTAAAATGTAAAATGGTCAAATTGCTGCAAAGAAACCACTAAAGGACACCAATAAGAAGAGACTTGCTTGTGCTAAGAAACGAGCAATGGACATTAGACCGGTGGAAATCTGTCCTGTGGAGTCCAAATTTGATATTTTTGGTTCCAATCGCTGTGCTTTGTGAGACGCAGAGTAGGTGAACGGATGATCTCCGCATGTGTGGTTCCCACCGTGAAGCATGGATGAGCTGTGATTCTGCAGCGATACGCCGTCCCATCTGGTTTGCACTCAGTGGGACTATCATCTGTTTTTCAACAGGCAGGACAATGACCCAACACACCTCCAGGCTGTGTAAGGGCTATTTTACCAAGAAGGAGAGTGATGAGTGCTGCATCAGATGACCTGGCCTCCACAATCACCCGACCTCAACCCAATTGAGCTGGTTTGGGATGAGTCGGACCGCAGAGTGAAGGAAAAGCAGCCAACAAGTGATCAGAATGTGGGAACTCATTCAAGACTGTTGGAAAAGCATTCCAGGTGACTACCTCATGAAGCTGGTTGAGAGAATGCCAAGAGTGTGCAAAGCTGGCAAAGGGTGGTTACTTTGAAGAATCTAAAATATATATTTTGATTTGTTTAACACTTTTGGTTACTACATGATTCCATGTGTTATTTCATAGTTGTCTTCACTATTATTCTACAATGTAGAAAATAGTAAAAATAAAGAAAAACACTTGAATGAGTAGGTGTGTCTAAACTTTTGACTGATACTGTAAGTATTCAGACCCTTTACTCAGTACTTTGTTGAAGCACCATAGGCAGTGATTATAGTTTAGAGTCCTTGGGTATGACGCTACAAGCATGGCACACCTGTATTTGGGGAGTTTCTCCCATTCTTCTCTGCAGATCCTCTCAAGTTCTGTCAGGTTGGATGGGGAGCGTCGCTGCACAGCTATTTTCAGGTCTCTCCAGAGATGTTTGATCGGGTTGAAGTCCGGGCTCTGGCTGGGCCACTCAAGGACATTCAGAGACTTGTCCCGTAGCCACTCCTGCGTTGTCTTGGCTGAGGGTCGTTGTCCTGTTGGAAGGTGAACCCAGTATGAGGCTCTGGAGCAGGTTTTCATCAAGGATCTCTGTACTTTGCTCCGTTCATCTTTCCCTTGATTTTGACTAGTGTCCCTGCCCCTGAAAAACATCCCGACAGCATGATGCTGCCACCACCATAGGGATGGTGCCAGGTTTCCTCCAGACATGACGCTTGGCATTCAGGCCAAAGAGTTCAATCTTGGTTTCATCAGACCAGATAATCTTGTTTCTCAGGGTCTGAGAGTCCTTTAGGTGCCTTTTGGCAAACTCCAAGCAGGCTGTCATGTGCCTTTTACTGAGGAGTGGCTTCCATCTGGCCACTCTACCATAAAGGCCTGAGTGCTGCAGAGATGGTTGTCCTTCTGGAAGGTTCTCCCATCTCCACAGAGGAACTCTGGCGCTCTGTCAGAGGGACCATTGGGTTCTTGGTCACCTACCTGATCAAGGACCTTCCCCCGATTGCGCAGTTTGGCCGGGCGGCCAGCTCTAGAAAGAGTCTTGGTGGTTCCAAACTGATTCCATTTAAGAATGATGGAGGCCACTGTGTTCTTGGGGACCTTCAATGCTGCAGAAATATTTTTGGTACCCTTCCCCAGATCTGTGCCTCGACACAATCCTTCCTCTGAGGTCTACGGACAATTCCTTCGACCTCATGGCTTGGTTTTTGCTCTGACGTGCACTGTCAACTGCGAGACCTTAGACAGTTGTGTGCCTTTCCAAATCATGTCCAATCAATTAATTGACCACAGGTGGACTCCAATCGAATTGTAGAAACATCAAGGATGATCAATGGTAACAGGATGCACCTGAGCTCAATTTCAAGTCTCATAGCAAAAGGTCTGAATACTTATGTAAATACGGCATCTTTTTTTTTTCTATACATTTGCGAAAATGTCTAAACCCGTTTTTCGCTTTGTCATTATGGGGTATTATGTGTAGATTGATGAGGAAAATGTTTTATTTAATCGATTTTAGAATAAGGCTGTAACGTAACAAAATGTGTTAAAAGTTAAGGGGTCTGAATACTTTCAGAATGCATTGTATATGCAACGCTTACTTGATTATGCTACAGCAAGCTACGCATAATGGCTTCAGTGAGGGAAAAAGTTGGTAAAGAACTCCATATGTATCTGTTGTAGAATACCTCAGGGAGAAGACTCTTCTTTCTTGGCAGCCAGGAAGAGACAGACCACTCCCAGCAGCTGCAGTTTGGCAGTGTTCAGCTTGATTTTATGTAGACTGCGGTTCAGGAGGTGGACAGACAGGTAGAGGGTCTCCTCTGAGAAATGGAACACCTCCTGTAAGAAGAAGGAAGGGGTGATGGGGAGCACACAGTGGCCTGAATTTTACCACATACATTTTGTCTTAGGTAAGCTGAAGGGCACCTGCTTAAAAACTGCTTCATTATGGAGGGTCAACCTGTTTTCAAGTAAGTGCGCCTTTCCTACATTTGAGGAGTAGCAGGTTGAGTACATTTTAACCAGGGAATCCTTTTAGATAAATAGTAGAGCTACACATGAGGGGAACTCACATTGACTTGGATGAGCCAGTCGACCAGTATGGCACGGGTGGTGTCTGAAAGGTCTGGGTAGGTCTGCATTGGGGAAGGTGAACCGCAACTGACTTCTCTGGAAAAGAAGGCAGTGTCAGTGAATGAGGTACAGCAAAACAACAAAATAACTTCACTAGCTAAGTTTCCATCCAAGTGGCGACAGCTTTTCATGCAGATATGCTAACATTTTCCCACCAGGGATGTTTCCACCAAACTGACTTGTTGCAGATAAGAATCAGTGCGTGATGTAGTGCACACAATTTTATTTTTCGCTGAAGTTGTCACGTACAAAACAAATCTCAAGTTTCATGTGTTTCAGTCGCATTTCCAACTCCACCGATATTTTGGACACAAAAACTTCCGTTAAAATACCACACCATGTCATCGCGTGACTCAAAGTTTATGGTTGTTATATCAATATTTGCACATTAAGGCGTTTCCACCGCTATTTCTCGCATAATTAATTTAACCGACAAAGATCACACTATGTTGAACAAACAAATGATCTGTCAGGATTGATAAAAATTGTTCCGAAACTTCCTGTTTGCATCACGGCTACCGTGATTGTATCTTTATATACGGTATACCTTTACTCGCATAAAAACTGTGGATGGAAACGGGGTTACTGATTAAAATGTAGAGCTATCCTGGACACTAACAATACAAGCCTACTCCCAACCTTGTTACATTTGTGCCACAAGAGTGTGAGCCAAAGCCGGAGCTAAAGGAATTAACTTCGGGATCTAACAAGGCTACCTAGGTCTCAGGCAAGGTTACTCATTACATGGCTCATGGAACCACCTCTATTATTATGATTATTATTACCACCATCATGTCAGAGAAGATGTCCCATGCGTAGCTCCTGTCGTAGATTAGCCCCAGCGTCTCCATGGCCAGCTCCATCTCAAGACGCAGCAGGCCAGGCACTAACGCCTGCAGGCTATAGAGACCCTGGAGGCCATGCAGGTAGAGCAGCACAGCCTCTTCCTCCATACAGCCATCTGACCATCGTAGAGAAAAGGTTAACTTAGCACAGACGCATGGCTTAACACACAACTAAACTCAGCAACAAAAAAGAAACGTCCTCTCACTGTCAACTGCGTTTATTTTCAGCAAACTTAACATGTGTAAATATTTGTATGAACATAAGATTCAACAACTGAGATATAAACTGAACAAGTTCCACAGACATGTGACTAACAGAAATGGCATAATGTGTCCCTGAACAAACAGGGGGGTCAATATCAAAAGTAACAGTCAGTATCTGGTGTGGCCACCAGCTGCATTAAGTACTGCGGTGCATCTCCTCCTCATAGACTGCACCATATTTGCCAGTTCTTGCTGTGAGATGTTACCCCACTCTTCCACCAAGGCACCTGCAAGTTCGCTGACATTTCTGGGGGGGAATGGCCCTCACCCTCAAGCCAACAGGTCCCAGACGTGCTCAATGGGATTGAGATCCAGGCTCGTCACTGGCCATGGCAGAACACTGACATTCCTGTCTTGCAGGAAATCACGCACAGAACGAGCAGTATGGCTGGTGACATTGTCATGCTGGCGGGTCATGTCAGGATGAGCCTGCAGGAAGGGTACCACATGTGGGAGGAGGATGTCTTCCCTGTAACGCACAGCGTTGAGAGTGCCTGCAATGACAACAAGCTCAGTCCGATGATGCTGTGACACACCACCCCAGATCATGACGGACCCTCCACCTCCAAATCGATCCCGCTCCAGAATACAGGCCTCGGTGTAACGCTCATTCCTTTGACGATAAACGCGAATCCGACGATCACCCCTGGTGAGACAAAACCGCGACTTGTCAGTGAAGAGCACTTTTTGCCAGTCCTGTCTGGTCCAGCAACGGTGGGTTTGTGCCCATAGGCGACGTTGTTGCCGGTGACATCTGGTGAGGAGCTGCCTTACAACAGGCCTACAAGCTCTCAGTCCAGCCTCTCTCAGCCTATTGCAGAGAGTCTGAGCACTGATGGAGGCATTGTGCGTTCCTGGTGGAACTCGGGCAGTTGTTGCCATCCTGTACCTGTCCCGCAGGTGTGATGTTCGGATGTACCGATCTTGTGCAGGGGTTGTTACACATGGTCTGCCATTGCGAGGACGATCAGCCGTCCATCCTGTCTCCCTGTAGCGCCGTCTTAGGCATCTCAGTACAGACGTCGCAATTTATTGCACTGGCCACATCTGCAGTCCTCATGCCTTCTTGCAGTATGCCTAAGGCACATTCACGCAGATGAGAAGGGTATTTTTTTGCCGAGTTGATATACTACATTTGGTACAGAAGTATATTGCAGTGACCTGAATGAGAGGGGCTGTCGTCCTCATGGAAGCCCATGACAATGCCATCGTCTGTCGACAAAGGCAGCCTCCTGGCCTGCACAGAAATACACAGCAGGACAATTAAATTAAAACAGAGCGTGGCACAAAGGAAGGATAAGATGTCAAAACATATGGTATTGGTAAGAGTGCATTAATACGGAGACTTCACATACTGCTCTGAGACTTCAATAAAGGATTTGATGTGAAGAGTACTTGAGGCTTATGGGGCGAGAGACACTTGTGGGCCTTTGCAGCTGGGCTGTATTCATTAAGCCGATTCTGTTGCAAAATGTTTCTTAAACGGATGAAACGGGGAGGGACCTACCTGAATTTGTCCAATAGAAATTCTCATTTTACTGTTTGGACTAATGATTGCACCCCTGAACAGACTGAAGAGCGTTAACAGCGGGAAGAGGTCAGGCTGTAGCAGGAGAGAGGAGGCATACCCATCTGCTCTCTGGCTCAGTCTTCTGGTGGGTCCCCCTGAGCTCTCCGTCCTGGGGCTTCCAGTGCTCTTTGGGCCCACAGGCGTTGGCCAAGTCTCTTAAGGGGGCTCGTCTCTCTTCCGCCACCTGTGTGGGAGGCAGCCAAAAATACATCTTAGCAACAGATCAAAATGTACAGAATGGTTACCTGGAGGAAAACGGGGGAGGGTGATACTTTTTCAATTTCAGTCAAGTGGAGGGTTTAGTAATTTTTATATTTCAGTGTTTTAGAATGAGTTGCTTATTAGGAGATAGAGGTGTGTGCCCGATGTTGTCCCTCATCTCGGATTCTCCTCTGGGCGCGCAATATCAATTGAGCCTATAGGCTATTTAGTGTGGTCTCAATCAAAATGATCCATAGGCTACGAAGTGCATGCTCAGAGAAGCACAGAGCAAAGTTCTATTTCTAAAGACAGCTGCTGGGATGGTGTAAATAAAACCAGGCTGCATTACACACCGCAACAGATATTCTAACCCTGAGCCCCTGCCTGCTCTGTTCTTGATCAAAAACGGTATGCTGCGTAACCAATGGCTGTGTGTAGGGCTACGGTGGCAGTTCAGGAGGAGAGTCAAAGGTTCCTTCCAAATATATATATAATAACTATCTTGCGCACTGACTATCCTATAGCCTATGTTCTGTTCAGTTTGAGAAGGAGAGCGCCAAGATGAGCAGGAGGAACGGAGGTCAACTTTGATAGCTTGCTACTACTATCATTGATTTTTATTAAAAACAATGTTTCTTGCCCATGATGTATTTATCGGAGTTATTGACCTCACAATAAGCCAGATTTTAGTAACTTACATTGTGATGCTTTAACTTGAAGCAGCAACACAATCAATCGGAAATGGCCAGCTCATGGTGCTAAAAGTAAGAAAATTCAAGTAGGCGTAATTCATTTTAACTAGACTTTAGTAAACAACAAGAGGGCTTTGTCCATCAATTCATCCACCCACCGTGCACCCTTTAAAAATAGCCTACCTCCACGGCTGTGAAATTAAAACCAAGGGGGTATGACAGGACATGCCATAGGCCTACCTTTTATTAAAGAAAACAGCAAAAAGTTCGCTTAAGATCTTGTAGAAAATAAAACTGATCCATTTATATAAAATGATCTATAACTGCGCTATAAAATACCAGGGAAAGACGTGACTGATGCATATGGGGATATCATCGTTTTGTTTCTTTGACATTCAGAGACTGAGTTTGCTTGGGAAATAATCTAATTATGTCACTTTCAATTGATTAAGCTATTCACTTTCTGTACAATAGAAGACTGCTTTTAGGGAAACACTTGTGACAGTCTCTCGTTGGGTTAAGCCACGGAAGTGTAGCCAGCAGTTAAAGCTTAAATGTTTCTGCGTTGGTAGGCCTACTCTGTCTGGGGTGGCAAGGTAGGCCTAACTTTTGAAAGTACCACGCTCAGATTCCTAATGATGTCTCAGTAATTATTTGCAAACAGGAACAGTTTAGTTGCAAACAAGACATTAATTTGGCAATGGAGAAATATGGTAAGATGAACATAGGCCTCTCTCTGGCCATTCTTAGCCTGTCATTTCAGTAATTTGTGTGGTATAAAAAAAAAAAAATAGTTTCCCACTAATATGTAACATTTCGTAGAATTGCATGAAATGTTTAGAAAAGGCAAAACAACTTAAAAGTCCATCTAAAACGTGAACCGATTCTCAATTGCGGTAAGGTTCTAGAAAACATAAATCCCTCTTTCACCAATGCAAAATACACTTACACTATTTTAAGCGGTTTTAACAGTTGCAGCCGACAGTACTTTTCAGTGACAACATGTTTGTGGTGTCCTTTAGTTTACACAGGTGTTATCTATGGCTATCTATGCTGAACAAAAATATAAAACGCAACATGTAAAGTGTTGGTCCCATGTTTCATGAGCTGAAATAAAAGATCCCAGAAATGTTCCATACGCACAAAAAGCTTATTTCTCTCAAATTTGTTTACATCCCTGTTAGTGAGCATTTCTCCTTTGCCAAGATAATCCATCCACCTGACAGGTTCGGCATATCAAGAAGCTGATTAAGCAGCATGATCATTACACCGGTGCATCTTGTGCTGGGGACAATAAAAGGCCACTCTAAAATGTGCAGTTTTGTCACAACACAATGCCACAGGTGTCTCAAGTTGAGGGAGCGTGCGATTGGAATGCTGACTGCAGGAATGTCCACCAGAGTTGTTGCCAGATAATTGCTTTAATTGTATTCCCACACCACATGCTAGACTACAGCAACACCATTTTCCTTGCCATAACCCCACAAAAGAGAGAAGATGTTGGTTGTGTTGCATTTCAGCATATTGTGCGTTTTTGTGTGGCTTAATTCGTAAGAAAATAAAAATTTGGGGGGGGGGGGGGGGGGGGGGGGGACTTCAGAAAGTTATTAGAGCGATGCATGATGGGCAATGGTGTTCTACACTGCCTTTGTGTGTTCCACATACAGTGGGGAGAACAAGTATTTGATACACTGCCGATTTTGCAGGTTTTCCTACTTACAAAGCATGTAGAGGTCTGTAATTTTTATCATAGGTACACTTCAACTGTGAGAGACGGAATCAAAAAATAATAATCCTGAAAATCACATTGTATGATTTTTAAGTAATTAATTTGCATTTTATTGCATGACATAAGTATTTGATCACCTACCAACCAGTAAGAATTCCAGCTCTCACAGACCTGTTAATTGTTCTTTAAGAAGCCCTCCTGTTCTCCACTCATTATCTGTATTAACTGCACCTGTTTGAACTCATTACCTGTATAAAAGACATGCTTTTCTGCAAAGGGGACAGGACGACTGCACCGTATTGGGGGTAGGATAGATGGGGCCATGTATCGCAAGATCTTGGCCAACAACCTCCTTCCCTCAGTAAGAGCATTGAAGATGGGTCGTGGCTGGGGCTTCCAGCATGACAACGACCCGAAACACACAGCCAGGGCAACTAAGGAGTGGCTCCGTAAGAAGCATCTCAAGGTCCTGTAGTGGCCTAGCCAGTCTCCAGACCTGAACCCAATAGAAAATCTTTGGAGGGAGCTGAAAGTCTGTATTGCCCAGCGACAGCCCCGAAACCTGAAGGATCTGGAGAAGGTCTGTATGGAGGAGTGGGCCACTTTTTCTTGTACATTACACAATTTCTTTCATAATGCATTTTATACAAGGCTATGTCGAATTTTATGAGGGTTGCCAGATTATTATTTTTTGGGGCGGTATCAATGAAGGTATTTGGGGAATGGGGATACATTTTTATGACGGGAAATTATAATACACACGCATATACACACTCACTTTGTTTGTACTCATGTTATAGCCAACTCTTGGCTTTTGTATGAATTATTTTTAATAAAATATTGTATGTATTCATTATCTTTAACTGGTTAAAATGTTTGTAGTTTGCATGTTTCAGTAATGATTAACATGGTTAAATAGTCGTAAATCTCTACTTGATTTAGCTTTTGGTATATTTGGCATTTTCACACATTCTGTATTTCCACTAAAGAAAGCAATAATTAACCAACACACTACTGTAAATACATATTACAACCTCTGGGGTATAAGATGTTGGGTATAGTGGTGTAGCAGAGTCTGAAATTGATTAAATACCCTGACCTATGTTCAATGTCAGCAGCAATAGGAGAGTCTGACATATAACCCCTAACTTGAGTTCAGTTTTCACCAATGAGAACCAAGAGGGACCTAGCTATGTCCTTCATGACTGGGAAAGGCCTTCATTCTAGGCTGTAGAAAATCCTACATCCATCTCATTAGATCACAGATAATTTTCTTCTGAATAACTGGTCAGTGCATAGCACTTTCCATTCAGCTTCAGGCAACTTTGACGTAAGGCTTGATCACACCTGTAGTGACTACTTCTATCCGTCAAGCCCATTGTTGCTTATCCATTGTTCACTAGATATATCAACGTAATTACACCCAACACAATGTTGAAAAACAGAATGCTTCCCACCACTAGATCACATAACTAGACGGGAGCTGGACGTGATCCCAAAGCTGCCACCAATGTAGAAGAAGAAAGTGAAAGCTGCAACAGGGACTCTAACCAGGGCTCATGTGGTAAAGTGAGCTCTAACGCCAATTGCTATGATTGCCCAGAGGCCTTTTAGGCTGAGGCAGTAGGCCTACAATGCTGGCATATGCCTTGTTACAATAGCCTAAGTATATAACATGATTGACACGACCGTAATAATCATCCTGAAACATTATTTTTTCTTCTGTTTCCCTACATTTATTGATGCATTAATTCATGAAAATCTATTCCCATTCCCCAATCAAATACCTTCAATACCACAAAAAAATAAAAGACATACAGCTTTTTACTCCAAACTGGCAACCCTCATAAAATCCAATATAGCACCAGTATCCCAAAGTATTAAGTGAAAACAAGCATAGAAAACAGTATTGGCATTAATAATAAAAAGGCAGGCTACTATTAGAAGTATTTCAGTGACAACCTTGCTCATTAACAATATTGGGTTGTTAACACGTTTGTTTTTTTATACAAATAAATGTGGGACACAAAAAAAGGCAGTGTAGAACACCATTGCCCAAAATGCATTGCTCCAAGAACTTTTAAAAATGTTTCTCAGAAGTTCGTCCCCCAAAATTTATTTTCCTATGAAGGAAGTCGCACAAAAATGTGTGTTTTGCACACGAATTAAGACGCACAAAAACGCACGAAATCTGCTGAAATATATTTTGTACATATTTGCACGAATTGAGTGAGAGATTGTGTTGGATGATGATGTGCAGGTTCAAGGGAAAAATAGAAAAAACAATTGTACCGTTTTTGGATATTAATTATACAAAATGTTTTTAGTTCAGATTATTTGTTTGCAATATGTGATCTATAGGCCAAGACAGCTTCCTAAACTGATTATTCGATTGTGGGGTTTGAATAGTGTGATAAGACAACAGGGGCATTAGACTACATTGGGTGAATAATTGTAATTACAGCATTATTTCATCTGTAGTAATTCTTCCAAATCCCAGAGTGCATTGGGTGAATGTTAGAAAAAGATATT